AGAGAGAGAGAGAGAGAGAGAGAGAGAGAGAGAGAGAGAGAGAGAGATGTACTTCTTTTTTCTTTCATAATTCTTCAGGACCTGCTAAAGACTGTTGTTGAACGGGTTGCGGTGGTTTTCTTTGCTTCTGGCGAAATGATACAATTTTACATTCTGTGTTCTAATGTACAAAAATTATTAGATGCAGTAAGTTTTATTATATATAATATTTATTTTTACGCAATTAAGAATTGTCTCAATGATTGCGCTAGAGATTTGCAGCATTCTTTGGCCACCGCTTGTCACATACATTCTGACGAATATATAACGTGATAAAATAAACAAAATAAGAATTTTTAGAATACTGCAAATATTATTTATAAAAGATATTGTTACATACCATTTTTGTTTTAATAGAAAACATTTATGAAATATAAACATTCCTGAAGTTATATCGAAAGGTATTTCTGATTAACAATTATAATCTATCATACGTTAATTTCCATCTGATTTAGAGTACAGAAATGACAGATATGGCATTTCACGAAAACTGGTATCAGTCTCGGCCGTCAATAAAACGCAAATTCATGTTAATGATAATGGCCAATAATTTAAAATGTAGACTTGTATCATTTGAAAAGTTTAACATTTCTTTGCCATCATATATGACGGTAAGACTACGTGCGTTTATTGTATCACTTACCTGCTTATATAAAACTATTATTATTAAAAATTTTTCCAGATTATGAATCAATCATACTCAATTGCTGTTTTATGTTTAAAAGTGGTTAAAAAATAATAGAGAATGTATTGCAAACATCTCAAATATGATGCAGAACTTTATTTTGCAAGGTAAATATATAACAATCAGATAAACTTGTGAATCAATTTTTTATGTTGCTAAAGTTAATGTTTTGTTTTAGTAAAGGAAATACAAGGAAATAATGATTAATGATTATTGGTATGAGATACACGTTATTAATGGATTTTTTTAGAAATCAGTAAGGTAAAGAAAAATAAAAATTTTAATCACAATAATGATGGCATATGCTTAGAATTTACTTCATCGCGTGATGTGTAGTAAAGCAGACAGGGAGTTTTTGCAATATCGTCTTTCTCAGATACGGTAAATGTATCTGAATTAGATACGTTCACCGTCTAAATTCACATTATTAGGGACTTCATAAAACTTATTTTCTCAAAAATAACGTCGAACGTACGTTTGAATAACGTTACGTGAACGATGTGCATACGCAGTTTCGCCTTTCGATCAATAATATGAATTTAGATGGTGAATTTGTTACATAGAAGATATTTATTATTAATGTATGCAATCTAAATTAGACGTTGATATTATGTAAAACAGCATCATGGAATTTAAACAGTTGTAGAACAAAAGTATTTAATAAAAGTATTTTCTCTCTTCATTAGTGATTAAATCTAATATTATAGTATATAAGATGAGTCAAATAAAACAATTTAAGATTTTATAAAAATCTGTTTATGATGCATAAAAATATAAATTGCTTTACATTCTATTATTTGTATAAGTAAGTGATAAAGAATAAATATTATATCATTTTGCTCTGCAAAAACTAAAGTACGGAAAAAAATACAAGTTGCAGAAAAATGTAAAAAGCTGTAACTTATTGATGGAATAAATTTCAGTTTTGTGTATTATCTATAAAAAAAGATAAATATATTTCTTATTAATAAATATATAATAATGAAAGTTCGCAATTCATATTCTACGAAATATATTCATGTACATATATTTATTTTCTGATAAACCTATGTTCTGTGGATATTTTTTATCATTTATGAACAACATTCTTACGTAAATGAAGACTTATGTCTGCATTTTTCTTTAAGTTCTTTGTCATTTCATATAAGATTCTTAAAAAATAATAACATCTAATTCGGAAATGCGCTTTTAAGTGAGGAACGCAAGCCAATTAACTTTTAAATTAAAATCATCGCTGTTTGATCTTTTTCAGTTCTCAATGATATAAAAGTAAGACATGTTGAAATTTTACACTTCCTCTATAACATTTAAATAAGATATAAAGAAATTATTTTTTTTTATTATTAAATAAAAACATTCATGTATGTATATCAGAAATATTACGTCTTCGATCTTTATTATGAAAGAATCTTATAAAAAAAAGCATCTATGAAGTTACAGTGCTTTCTTCGAAAAATTATTGTACACATTTTGACATTAAAAAGTTTCTGCAATACCGCATTATCGAATACGGTTTATGTAACTGTTCCACACAACGCACAATTGAATTATAAGATGCTAGAATAATATTTATAAGCTATGAAGAAATTATCGTTATTATTCATAAGCTATAGATATTACAATTACAGCTTACAATTCGTTTGCTTTGCGCACACCCTGCCAAAATTTATTTATCGTTATTTATTTATTTATCACAAATAAACCGGAAAACCGCTTTGTGTATCTGGACGATTTTGTTTTGCATCGCGTTACTTTTCCCCGCGAATACTTCCGCTGCTTCTGATCGTCCTGACATCCGGTTGCGAAGAACTCTATACTGGTCCCATGATCGACACTTTCGCCGTTCTTCAATATGTTTCGCACATTCACGCTATACATGCAGTCGTTTCGAAGTTGTCGCAAATCATAGTGCGGTGTCTGAAATTAATTGTACGATGGATAGAGTTGAAATATATTAAGATATATCTGTTTCTCTCATTTTCGTTTTTATTGTTCTAAGTGTCAATTACCAAAATTTTTTTTGAAACACATATCAGAAGTTCGATATCTGAGCGAAGAGAACTATATTAATTATTTCGAAATTTTTACTATTCTAAAATAACTTTGAAATCAGTTGTTTTGGTAAAATTACTTGACAAGATATCACGTTTTTTTCTAAAATTGTTTCGTACAGTTCTAAATTAAATAATGTAATAAGCTAACTTTTCTTCAAATGTATTAAAACTTTACAGTCTAAAGGAAATAATATTTAGAATAATAATTAAGGTAACGAAGATAGATGATGTTCTTTTAAAAACATATGTATATATACAATTTTTATTTCTTACAGAGACAAGACTGCATAATTATGGCTGTATTAATAATTAAAATAGATACAATATTAGAAAGTAAAATTTTACAAGTATTTTCTTTGAAATGGCATTCTTGTTTATAAGTTCTCATTTTATACTATCGTGTCTACGTATGTTGCAATACAGTTATGCAATTAAATCCAATATTTCATATCAAATTTTATATCAAAATATATTCTGTGCATTTTTTACTAAATTTCCAAAGCTTTGCCAATCACAGCAATGACTGTCAATCGCGAAAGCACAAGGCAAAGGAATTTGAAATCGGCATACCTGAACCACCTTCCAACCAACGGATTTCCGCCGACGTTCCGGGTTTTTCTTGCGTGAACAGGACTCTTCTTGCCAAGTGACATTATACATGCTACCGTCGCTGCTTGTCGGCCAAACTAAACGCGTCTTGACTTCCCCACAGTGGCAATTCATGCGACGCACGTGGAGGCCGGCCTGCGTTCGCTCGCACCTGCGAGAACGTCTCCCGATGTCGGCTTCAATAAAAGATCACTGCTTTCGTTGGTTATCCCGACTACACTGGACTTAAGAAGGGAAACTGAGGGAAGGATTGACTGTTTGGTACCTTACCGTACGCCATGTAATCGGTGCTGTTGAAGACCTTGGACGCCTTGCGCGAGGTAAGACGCCGACCGCCGTACATCGCCACCGCCTGCACTTGAAAGAAATACTGGCATTTGACCTCCAGATTCTTCAGTTCGTAACAGGTCTTATCCTGGAAAGCACATACAGAAATCTCTCGATTACATCAGAAACAAAATCTCAACTCGAACGCGAAAATTATCGGCAAAATTCTAAGTGTTTAGAACTAGGGTACCTGCATTATAAATTTAATTTATAATATGTAAATATATAAAATATATATTTATAACATATATATATATTTTATACTATATTTATACAATTTCATATTAAATATTATACAAATATTGTAACACATTATATAAAAATTTCAAGCAAATCATGATTTATGTTTTAATGCATTTGATTCTTTTTAATTCCGAGCGCCGCAATAAAGATATACCTACACGTGTATGTATATATATTGAGGTAACAGCCTTTTCAAGTCATACGTTTACATCTAATTATTTAAAATAAAATTAATTTATTTTTTTACATCTTGTTGCAAATTAAAATTAAATTGAATGACTAAAATAGGTTTTTCTACGAAATCTACTAATAACGATGAAGAGAACTTACTTTAAAAATCGTCCTGTGATAGACGAGAATAGATTCGTTTGTTGGTCCGTGGATAAATCTGGTCCAAAACACTTTATAAAACGATATCGGCACGTCCGATACCGGTTTAACCCATCGTAAATTAATACGCAGCTTTCCACCGACGAGCCGCGCGTTAGACAAGGTCAAGTTCTGCGGTTCCTTCGGATTTCGCGGTTCTGCAACCGACCGTAGGGAGACACCGTAAGATCATTGCTTCTTCGCAGTGCAATGCTAATTACAACGGAACTATAATATATATATTTTATGCATATGTCCTACAGTGAATGTAATAAGAAGATATAATTCTTCTCTGTATAGTAAATCACCATCGCAATTTTATTAATAAACATATTTTATTTTTTTTTATACGTGGTATATAAAAAAAACTTTCCTAAATTAACGTACGCGACATTGTAATGATTGGTAATGATGGTCACTTAATGCAAAATACCTTTTTTTATCTAGTTATTTCTACAATAATGCGATACTCATTTAAAAAGTAAATTAGTTCAATAAGTCACAGAATAATATGATAAAAAACATTAAATTAAAAGCTATTCTATTTATAAAATGTATTCTCGTTTGGTAAAATGTACGTAATTAAAGGATTAAAGGTATTAAATAGTAGCAAAATGTATCGTCCCGGCTAATTCAAAATGATAACCGCACAGATGTGATTTCTAGCTAGTTCTTGCTGTTAATAACTGGAATTACTTAATCCGGTTTTGCATGATTCGTTGATGCGTGAACCATTCATTATATTAATAATTCTTTTTTTTTTCACGTAACTATGTAAACCCGTTTGCCGTGATCGTGACGAAGGCGAAAAATTTATGTAAAAATATATTCGAGATTTATTTAAGATAGCAATTAACGCTATGATTTATTTACGCCGCTTATTAATAATTAAGCTAATATCGGTACTCATTACCATGGTCACTTTTCTTTTTGTCGAATCGCAGCGTATACTCGCGACCTTTCAATAGCATGTTTGCTCTCGCATGTTAGCCACTGGCCTTCACTTTGTGAAGCTTAATTTGCGTGCGAAAGGTCAACATTGAGCAATACTTACCGCGGCGATTTGCGCAAGCGATTAACGCGACTCTGAAACTTTTCACCGCGGGTTAATGGCCCGAATTCCGAAGTCAACAAACAAACAGTTCTCAAACACGAATACACTCGCAGGTAAAATTTTCTTCGGGTGGAACATTACACATGTCGACCTCGCGTGAGACGAGTTGTTCCACGAGTTCGGACAATCAACGATAATAACTCTAGCCTTCCACAATGTTCTTAAATTGTTGTTTTCTCGTGTCAATTTAGAATGCAGGAATGACGGGACTTAAACGTTTCACGGAGACTGACATTCGGTTTGGGCCATCGATGAAACGTACATTTTTGTCGATAATAATAGCCACACTGAATAAGAAAACTTGCTACATTTGCAAGTTTCAATTTGACACCATATACTTTTATTTTTATTTTAATAAGTTTTCGCATATATATTATAATATATAAAAAGGATCGCGTATTAATTTATATAATAATGTTATAAATAAATTCGCTCTTTTTTTCAATGCTTTTTTGAGCGATTTGATCGGAATAATAATCAATCGCGGCTAATAGACTGCGCAGATATGCTTTTATCTCGTTTGTACGTAGGTACTCACCTTTCGTTTTAAAGGGCCTGGAAGGTTGCGAATATCCGCGCGATCCATTTCCATTGACGGCCGCCACACGAAACTGATACCAATGTCCTGTTTTCAGCCTACCTCGGAGGGTCGCGTGCGGCTTCGTTGACACGTGACACACAGTCCAGGAACTCAATCTGGATTCCATGTACCTGGGGCCGACCAGATGACGCTCCTCGACCAGATACCGGACATCCCCGTCCTTGTTGTTGGCGGATACGTTACCGCCGCTTGGCTTGCCGTTGCGCCACGTCAGAAGTACCAGATTTCTCTTTTGCTGTTGTATCTGTAGGTTCTCGGGCACAGGTGGCAGATCTAATTAAAATCATTATTCAGAATAAGTAAGTTTAAACCTTACAGTGGAATTAGCACAAGCTGTTTTTTTTTTTTATTCGCAAATTTTTCAATCAATTTATAATCGATCTTCGCGCGATGTCGAAATAGGACATTTTTGTCACGAATTTTCTATATATCTTTGACGTTAAATATTTTTGAAATTCTTTCTCAAATTACAAATTAATCAAAATGGAATTCACTTGAAATTAAATGAAAGTGATGCTTGTACTTCAGAAACTTAGTTCCCGAAGTCTTTCACCTTTCACGACGCTCTTTTGCAATTTACAAAATTACTAGTCTGCATGATACAGATACGAATGAGAAATAAACACATGGCGCTCACAAAATAACAACTGCCACACTCACCGTTTCGACTGTCCAAACCGATGGGATGCATGCACGTGATGCCGCAATCGTGGGAGCAGCACTTGGCCAAATCCGGACAGCGGGAGTCGTCGACGCAGGCGATCAAGCAAGCGGCTTCGAAGGGCGTCATAGACATTCTCTCGGGGCAATAACCAGGTTTTGTGTAATTCGACGCCAAGCAATTTTCCACGCACTACGGCACGATGACGAAATATGATGAGAAAGAATTTATTTAAACATATTCATTTCTAACTTTTAACATTTCTTTCCTGACAGTTGTATGTATATATGAAACCTGATTAAGTAATTGATTGTAATGTTGCTGCTCTAAAATCTTAGGCAGCAAATAAAATCTGATATATTTTCTCGTATTAGTCATAATTTAGAAAATAAATGCATTAAAAATAAAACATATTACGAGTTAAATACATTGAAATTTTGGTGAGATTTTGTTTAAAAAATTTTTTTTTACTTTTATTTCACCAAAATTATTACATTCATGAAAGCTGTACATTTTCTATATCTTCTTTTGATTGACTTATATTGCTATTTCGTTCAACAACTTATGCGAAATTATTTCTTCACCATTTCTTCAACGGGGCGGGTTTATTAAGGCCGGCTTCATCGCATTCCATCTTAATCGAAGTGCTTTCGATCTGCTCGCCATCCGCGATCCGATCCAATCCCGTCGGTACCGAAAAAGATACGGCCAATAGCCGTGTAAAAAGGAAAAAAAAATAAAAATACAACAAATCGCCGCGCCGATGTCGAGTTCTCTGCCACGATTGAGAGCTTCTCTGCCATTTTCGTGGAAGCCAATCCTCGCTACATAGTTACGAAACTGCCGCTCCTCGATTCCGTTCAAATGCGAAATGCGAGTCCGGATCCTTTTAAACGAGGCCCCGAGGCATATTCCCGATCGTCAGGACGAGAGGAGATGCCGCGCCGCTTCATATATATTTCAACCTAATGCGCGTTCGAGTTCGCGCGCGTTGCCGTGTTTTTATGCCGTCATCATTTTCGTACAATGTAGAGACGCGAGAAAGCCGGTCCCCGGTGAAGTCAACCGAAAAATGCAACATTTAAGATAAACGTCGGCGACGTTGCGAGATGTATGATTACAAGCGTAATATGGTGTTTGCAAAGTGCGTGTCGTTAAACTTAATAGGCGACTCAAGGCAAATTTTCAAAGTCTCGTTAAAATAAGTACATCGTATCAAATTTCGCGATTGTGATAACTTCATCGATGTAGCTTCATCGAAGAATAGACGCGCGCCGCGTATATACGTATTAAAAAAGGAAGAGTTGCGAGTCGCCGTCGTTTATGGATTGTAACGCAGTACATTTCCTTCATAGATCTATGCCGGATGTTGGGACGGTTTATGGACGGTTTGTATCTGCTGTATCGTCTACCAGTGACACGTGTATGTGACTAGATGGGCCATAAAGAATCACTTGAAGGAAACGCGTTGCTCGCTGCGAACAAACGAACTTGACGAGGCTGCAACTTACGTAGTGCGTCCATCAAATTTTGTGACGTGTAAAATGTGACATGTAATCAATGTATTTTTACGACAGTTGTTTTGATATCATGTAACACACATCGTATTGTTTACTCTAAAACACTGAATACATATTTTTTTATAATAAGTTGTAAAAGAATAAAATCTAAGTAAACGCTAACATGTCAAAGATTTTTTCGGAAATGTAGTAATTGCATAAATAACTTTTTTTATAAAGCTGACTTATGAAGTATAATTTATACGAACCAAAAATAGCACAAATACATTACAGAAGCCCTTCAAATATTTAAATGCATTAATTGCGCGATGGTTATCAGCGACGTGGTTCGTCGTTACAAGCTTGTATTTTAAGAATTCTACATCCGATATTCGAATATGCGTGAATGGAATGTTTAATATTAATCTTTGGTGACCGTTAGGAACATGCAGTGTAAATCGGTAAGATAATTTGCATATATTGACAATTTGCTTTGCATTAACGTCTCATAAAATATTTTTCATAAAGAAATGTGAAATCATTTACAAGATATACTGTAAAAGATGAAGAAATAAAAAAAAAAGAAAAAAAATGGAAAGGTTGTGTGGGAATGTTTAACATTTAAAAAGAACCATTTAAAATTCATGAAAGATTACGTGTACGAAGACAAAAAAACGAGAAAAAGAAAAATCCACGTTTTTTCTTCTGAAAATGTAACTATGGTTAAAAAGTGCTAAACTGATGATATTAGAAATCGGAGAAATCAAAAGATCGACCCCCCCCCCCCCCCCCCCGATCCGTGGGTATGGCTAACGATCTTTACGGCGGGCTCTGATATAAGATTTGCCAAATGACGAGTCGCGGGCTCTTCCCGGAGGAGATCCAGGAACATTCTTGGAAATGTTTACACGTTGTCGCGCTGTTACGATCGCGACATATATCATTCGCACGGTCGGGGAAACTGGTTCGCTTACTTATTGGCCTACTTTTTACAGAGGGAAGCGAACGCGCCGAGCGAAGCGGACCCGTGGCACTGCGCCGGACAGCGTCGTCGACGCTGATCGCCCGGGGCCGTTGACCAGCTAATAAAGTTTGCAATGCGAGGGTCGCATCGCCGGTAGCGCCGCGATCAGTATTGTTAGCGAAATCATACGTATCGCGTTACCCCTTTATTATACCTGCTCCCTTTCTCAGGGGACTCTCAGGGATTCCCCCGGGCACCGCCCAAATCGGCTCCCGATGATCCGTTGCTCTATAGAGCGGAACCGTGTATTCAGAACCAATCATATTATATGTATATACCAATATATGTATATATACATATATGATTTTTTTATGTATAAAAGAAACTAGGAGACTGTTAATTGAATATCTTTACAAATAAAGGCATTCCGAGGAATCTCATACCTTAGAAATCTTTATAAAAATAGCTAAATATAATATTGTTTCTTTCATTCGAATTCTAAATATATATTAATATGTGTAGATATGTATATTATATATATTTACATAAATATATTTTACGTATTCGAAATGTAACTTATCATTATTTATCTTTGAATCAGATGATATATTAGACTAAACCAAGCAAGAGAAGAGAAATTAGTAATAAATAATCTTAGACATTTTTTTAAAATAAGATTGGATATGTCTGATATACGTATATATTTCGATATACATAGCATCTCTCTCTCTCTCTCTCTCTCTCTCTCTCTCTCTCTCTCTCTCTCTCTTTCTCTCTCTCTCTTTCTCTCTCTCTCTTTTTCTCTCTACATTTGCTACAAAAATACAGAAGCGATTGGTAGGTTGGCTTCCGCGTTCCGTTGACAGTTGAAATTTGTTGCAAGTCAAACGGGAATATCAGACGGAAATCTCAGTGTATAATGTTCCTGGAGTCTAGTCTAATTAATCATTGAATTAGTTTTTCATATATTTATTAAAAAGATCTTGATTGTACAATTTTATAATATTTTTCTTATGTTGATAACATCTCGATATATTACGATATATTCTTGATATATTCTTGATATATTCTTGATCTCGATATATTCTTGATTTATTATTCATGTTCTAGAATCCTTTTTTAAAATGATAAATAAAATTTATAAATTATAATAAAATGAATAAAATTGTATAAATATAAAATATATAATATTATAAATAGTTTGGAGAATTATGTGTGTGTGTGGGATACGGATCTCTGTAACATTACATAAAGGTTCAACTTATACAGGTACTATTTATCATTGGCTGGAATTCCATTCTCTAGCGAAGTAGCGCCTGTATGACTTGGCAATATGAGATATTATCAAGAGCGATGAAAAAGGATCACTATATTGTGTTCTAAGCTCTTATGCAATAAATACCATTGTTGTTACAAAATAGGACATTGTTTATTACAAGGATTACTATATTATTTCATTGCATTTATAATTTCTAGATAAATTAATAAAATAAAACAATCAATATCATTTTGCGATTTAACATTATTTCAACTTTGATTAATTACAATAATATTATTATAAATTAATGTTTTGTCATTTAATTTAATGACTCAATTTAATGATTCAGTCTAAAAAAAATCTGATTTATAATTTAACGTTTTGTTAAATTATAGAGATATGTGCAAGTTACGATAAAATTACAATGTAAAAATATCTTATAAAAGAATCAGGTTTTTTAAATACGAACTTCCGAAAAGATTAAGCTCGGATTAAAGTATCCCGCTCTGATTTTCTTTGGTACATTTTTTTTCGACAAGCATCAGAAGAACTAAGTGGACGATTGTCGGTTTCGCGGTACTCACAACGCGAGTGATAATCGTCTCCCGGGACGTAAAAGGGTGAAAAGAGTAAACTGAAGTGCGCGCGATCTGATGAAGCGTCGTCACGGTCGAAGAATTAACTTCGCCGATGCGCGCCGAGATCGTCGAGTGATATCCGAAGCGATCACGCGGATCAAAGATGTACAAGAAGGCTAACGAAGTTCACCAGATCTCGCTCTTCCGTCCCTCTCCGCACGCATTCGCTCTCTTTGTCGATCGCGCCGAAGGCGCGCGGGGTCCGATCTGTTCCAGTCGAGAGCTTCTTCGCGAAGATTGGAGCGCGCGGCCGTCGTGAAGTGATCGTGAAGATTAGGGTATGGCAGGAGACTAATGTAGTCCGCCACGAAGATCGGCGATAGTGTCGATCGGCAATACTGAAAAATCATGCACGCCGATCCTTGCTCCATCTTCCTCCGCCTCCCCCGCGGAACCGCTTTCTTTCCGTCTCCCTTCCTCTCGGGGATCTCTCTCGCATCGGTGGACTACCCCAATTAAAGACTTGGTGAAGATCGCAGTTTGAAGTATTTATTAAGAACGGTATAGTCGAGGCGGCCTTCCATCGAAGTTCATCGTGAGAATTGGCCGGCCGCCGATCGCCGTCGTTAAGAAAATTATATTGCCCATTGGCGATTCACCACAGCGTCGTTTTCTTTTCGCTTCGTCTTCTTTCTCTTGTACTTCGTTTTCTTCTCTCGCATATTCTTTTCCCTCCGCGAACGACACCGATAATTAACAATCGAAACGGCGCCGCGCGCGGAACCTGCATTTGATCCGGCCGAACACAGTGGAGTTTCCGGTAGAGTTCCCCGCGATATAACGATCGCGCTAACGAAGTCGATTGTCATAGCGGCAGTGGTTTATCTTTTTTCATCAACATTCTAAAGGATGCCGCCGCTTTGATACTGAAGAATTCACGTCTGCTCATTAAACGTTACTTTCAAAATGAAGTTTTGCAATGACGTTATGCTAATGAAGTTAATTGTAATAATAGTAAACAACTACATTTTTATCCTCTCTTTTTTTATCTCTTTTACATTTTTATATAGAATACACAAAGTTGCCAGCGGAATTCCGCTCTCACGACTATATCGGCGAAGTTAATTATAGTAGCTATATTTCTTGTTTGTATCTGTCCACTCAGTCCACTTATTTATTGTTAAACAAAAATAATTAGTATTCGATAAGGCGACATCATGATTGGCATCGTAGAATTTATATTTGTCCAGAAAACTTCCTTAGCGAAGTTTGGTAGCGATTGTACGCGTCGGTTAATTATAGCAACAGTAAACGTCATTAAAAGAATGCGGAAGATTAGGTAACTGGTTGCGCGAAGATAAAAATACGGTGATATAAATTCCGGTGGAACGTGCGCAAAATATCCCGAATGACGATGATGCGGCGCTTTGTGAATATCTGCTTTGTGCAAGCCTCGCGCTTCACACACTAATCGGGAATGACACGCAAATTAATGAGTGAGACTTCACGGAAGCGAAATTGCAAATAAACACAAATCAAGAATTACTTCTAAATTAAATTGAGAGTATTAATCTCTGAAGTACTATATTGAATAGAAAGTAGGGAATTTAAATTTTTTATTCTAAAAATAACTGAAGAGAATTAATAGCCATCCGTGCGGTTTAATTGGCATTTTGAATAATTTATTTTCACTGAGCGAATTGAAGTCTTTAAAGTAATTTAAAGTAATCTATTAATCTTATCAATTAATTGTGCATTAAAATAAGATGGATTTAAATTAAAAGAACGAGTTTAGTACAAGAATGAAGTAAATTCATAATTTATAAGTTTTTTTCACACATAAAGTCACATGTACATACAATATATCTTAGAAATTATGAATTTACATATCAGATTTTTTAATCTAATCCTTCGATTATCATGTTTCTTCAATTCACGTTATTTCTGTTCGATGCTTGTTAGAGTCTGGTACGTCCACGCAGCATCAACAGGAAACGCGAAAGCGTCAATTTCGTCAGGCAGGCTCGCTTTCATGGTATCGATGCCGGAAACGGGAAGTTTCGTCAACCGTGTGGCAATGCGCGGAGCTCCCGAAGAGTGACGCGTCGCGCGAGAGAGCGCGCGACGCAGCCGAGTGCCACCGGGAAGATTGATCGTCGGTGCTTCGGGATAAGAACCTGTTTTCGATAATGTCGGAAGATACGTTTCTAGTGCGCGCCATAGGCGCGCATCCGGACTTAGTGAGTTGCGCGCGGCGCAACTCTTTTATAGGCCATTACTTCGGGACTTTATTGCTGGCCGGCAGTCAGAGCTCGGGGGCTATCTCTTCGTCATTCTCCCCGTCGTCCACCATGCATCCCACCTCGCCCTCTCTCAACCGCCTCCACCCCATCCCCGGAATCATTTCGGGGCCATTTGCTGTAATGACGTGTGTATACACGCCGGCAAAAAATGTCAGCAATAAAGCGCCCGCCGCGGCGAGTTACTGGTAAGTCAATGGGTGTTGTCGTTCATATTCGTCGCGGCGTAATCGCGCAACCAACGCCAATTAAAATGTTTAACCCTCTCGCTATCCGCATTTATACCTCATTTTCAATGTACGATACGCAAACCGATAGGTTTAGGGTCGCAAGATGCTATTGCAAATATTGAGGGATACAAGTCTGATAATGTAACACCCCCCAAAATTAAAATTAAAATTATCTTTATTAATAAGAAAATAAAAAACGATTAATCAAGAAAAATTTGCGCACCGCTTGCCGCGCTTGGCTCTCAATTAGCCCGCTCCTCTTCTACTTGGTGACACCCAATAGCAGAGCCTCTTACTTCAATTTTAATATTAACTTTATTCTAGAAACCCCTAACGCATAGGCGATCGCGATCAGTGCAATTGTTCTCCACTTGTTCTCGAGAAGTTTTATGGGATACGGCAGGTTTCAGGCAGATGACCCAAATACAATGTTATCGATCCGCCGTTGTCGAAATGCCGAATTAGCATCGTCCGAGTCAAGTCCCACGGCCGCGGCCGGTGGCACGGCGTGCCTCATAAATCGTCGAGCGTGACGATGAGATTCAAGTGGGCGCGGACTCAGGGACGCTCGGACTCGCATAACTAATTACACGCGAGCGAGAGAACCCGCAAAACCTGGACAAGCCCCGGATGAATCATCGACGATCTCGCGTCTGCGTCGTCTGCGACTCTCTCTCCCTCTCGAGAAGGCGACAAAGCGTTGCGGGGAACCAGTTTATTTAGCGACGCTATCGAGTGTCGAATCGGCCATCGAAATTAAAATCGATCTCCACTCGGACAGCGGCGCACAATGTAGCGCGTTGATTAATCGAAGCGATTATTCCGCCTGATTGCGACACGCGGGTCGATGCCATAAGCGCCAACAACGATCTTGTTTGGAATAACGATTGTGTTTGTGCGATGCTAATATTCTTCCCTGTCATTAATCCTTTTAGACTGAAATATTAATTTTTATAACGTTCCCCACAAATGTTGATCAAATAATGCTATTTATAATGTTTTTGACACGCATGCTCACTCGCACGACATTTAAATCGCAGAACAAAATTGTGTTAATAACTTTGTATTAAATTTTAGAGTATATAGCATGTAGGATTATATAATAACGTCGTTCGAAAATCATATAGTATTATCATATCATTGATAATGATAGTATACAGATATTAACGGCGATACGGCTAATTGTAAGCTAACTCGCTTGCATAACGTGTCCTTATCCTACGTACCTCGTCAGGTTGATTTTCCCCGCATCGGGCGTCGCACCTGGCCACTCTAATGGAATCGTACTCCTCGACGTATCGCGTCCACGACGCCAAGCATCCTGGTAGCAGCAACCACCACGGCCACCATTCTGCGCAGACATCGTTTTATTAACTATCTTCCGCACCCAGCGGGCGGAATTTTATGGGCACATTTTTCTCCGCTTTATTTGTAATAGGTAACGCAAATGTGTGGCTTTGGAATCGATATATTCTGGGTGGCTCGCGTCTGAGTGATCCTCAAGTAGGATAAAAGGATAACGAAAACGATCTCGTCGATCGAAATTCGTTATGCAATAAGAATGTACGTTTGACTTTTGCAGCGTGACGCACAATTCTCCCCCCCCCCCCCCCCCCGGCAGGGAGGACGAACGAATTTCAAAGAAATTGGATACTTAACGGCGCTTTGCACTTTCTCCGTGCGTTCGCATCTCTCCTTGCTATCGGCATTACCTCCCACGACGGTAATCCCGAGGAAGCGCGATACGTATGTATGCCGTTAGTATACTACCCGCTGGGATAGCTCCGAGCGCCATTTAGTCCGTCTTAGGAATTCGTCCTTTTTTACTTTGCAGCGCACCGCGAGCGAACGAGCCGACCGCGGTCGCCCCGTTCCCGGGGAGATTGTTTCTCCATTTTAGCAAAAGTACGATTCATGCGGTCGCATGAGTATCGACTCGCTCGTTCGCTCGCTTGCTCGATCGCGATCACGGGACATACGCTACCTGCCTCTGCGCCGATCCCACGCGCCTCCTCGGAATTCCGATTGGGGTTTGTCGACAAGAAGGTAGAAGGCGATCACGTCCGCTTTTTCGCCGTTCGCGTAAATGCGGAGACCGGAATGATACGACGGAGTCGACGGAGAGACCGCAAGAGTCACGAGGACAAAGTGAAAGATGTACGGGCACCGCGGTGACGATCGCGATCGATCACACTAATGCGGATAAGCGGGAAAGCAGCTAAAGAATAAAAGCCGTAAATCAACTCTTGCCTGTGAATATTGCTAAAAAGATATAAGAAAAAGATCCGTGAAAAAAATGAGAATATTGTTCAATAATATTAAGCAATTAATGAATTTATTATTATTATTAATAATCTCGTTGTTTAAATTAATCTTAAGATTATTAATTATTATTTTATTATTGTCATAATACTACAACGGAAAAGATTAGGAAAAAGATTAATATTTATATCTTTTGTCATATTTGTAAGTTTTATCGTTATCTATATTTGCGATGAGTTATAACGTAATTTATTATATCTCATCTTTTATTTCAACTTTGCCTATAGTTAACACCACAATTGTAACATTAATATACGTTGAACTCGACGTGTTACGACATTGATCGTCAAAAAGAACCGCGCCTGTCGGTGACTTCAATGCCTGCTCTCAACAAGCAGGACGTGCTCGTCCTCCTGAGAAAAGAACGAGCGGAGAAAAGGTCGCCGGTTACCAGCGACAATCGAACGGAAACATAACAACTTCTTAATTTTTTGCCTGTTGTCAATTCGCGCGTTTAATGGCCCAATCCTGGCCCGTTAATTAACGCGGATATCCCGAAGGTGCTCGGCGCTTACGCTTGATTTCAGAGCGTGAATATATACCCCCACTTATCATAATTAATTCCCATTAGACTGCTAATCTTACTGGATAAGAGAAAGATTTATTAGTGTGTTATTACCTGTATAAATGTTAGAATTCGTAAATTGGAGCTAAGATTGATTCAACCTTCAATTAATTTTTTGGTCGACGAAGGAAGATTTAAATAAATAACATAGGTAATTTTTGGGCCGTACACTATTATACTTTATGTTAAATACTAGTCGTATTATTTCATATTTCATATTTCATATTTCATATTTTATTCGCTCCATTATATGTAGAAAGCGTACATTGTTTTTTGGTAGACTGGGTAATGATTATAAATTGTTACGTTTAGCATTAAAAATGAGAAAATAGAAACAAGACAGTCTAAATTTTTCTATCTAGTTCATATTTCCAGAAATTCGGCCGAGCATTGTTGAGATACAATTCAGCATTATGCAATATGCGATTAAACTAACGTTAAACTGACATGTAATAGTTCACTCTTATTGGCCGCTTTTTTATTATCAATTTGATTTAAAAAATTTTTAAATTTAATTCTAGATGAATATCAATGCATCGTACAAATGATTAAAACAAAAACTTGTGATTCACTTACTTACTCCCTAATATACAATCTGCATGGATTTACTTTAATTCAACCGATAGTTTCTTAACGGTCTCCTTGCTTATTACGCTTATCTTAATGTTTTTCGCAAGAAAGTGCATTACGTGTTTCAGAATGTACATATCATCCGATTTCCAGAGAAGAGAAAGGAGTATTAGCCTTATTGCTTTTGGCAAATATTACGCATTAGCATGGTAAATGAGTTACCGTGATCAACTAACGAGGTTGATCGTATGATATTCTTTTTTTATCTCTCTCTTTCTTTCTTTTCCCCTTCTCCTCCTTACCTCTTTCTCTCTATATTTATGTTTAAATTATTTCAAAACGTTATATAGAAAATTATTATTATATTATTTTGCAAAAATATTTATATTTAATTATTAATCATATCTTTATGTACACTCAGAAGAAACAATATTAGAATATATATTTACCTACAAAAAATTATAATATTTGCATATTTTTTTATAAATTAGGTTGCTTCTCGATAAAGCACGATAAATTTAAGTTTTTTATAAAAATACGTCAAGTATCTCATTTTTCTGTTAAATTTTTGTGGAATGTTTATTTTGTATTTATTACTACCTGATATTCTCTAAATAAATTCTTTGACAGATAAGAGTTAAATTGATGGAATTGTTTCAGTAAAAAAAAAAAAGATATTTTACGACAAGTTTAAGCCGCAATTTTGCTTTTCAATAGTTAACCGTCAATTTTTTGCAATAAATGGAATACTCTTCGAAGATATACTACCGAGAATCTTTGAGTTAAAACGGTACTTCGACAAGACCAGAGTCCGTAAGTGGTTCTTGTCAATCCACTTTAGCTTTTTGCGAATACGCGAAATGTCTTATATGTCTCATATTGTGGTGTACTATTTTTAGAATTTTTTCTCCCTTATATTTATATATCCAAACAAAAATTTGTATGTGACTTTTATTTGCTTTCTTTAATTGTATTATAATTGAAAGCTATATATATTTGTATGCTGAGTAACATTACAATTAAAAAAATTAGCTCCAAATAAATCAACAATAGTTTCGATGCTTGAACATTTAAGTCCTAGGTGTAACTTTTTAAATAAAATGATGGCAAAGCATATAAGTCAAATTATTAATATATCTGTGCAAAATTATCTTTGCAATAAAGTATGCAAAGCAATTAATATTTATATATTTATTCTTTGTTAAATGGTAAACGCATAATCTTCATTTTACAACCCCACATCTCCCATACATACTTTTGAGGGTGGCCGGTAGTTGCTGCCTCCGCCTTGTTTTCGCAGCTAAAGCTGATGTCGGATTGCCGGCGTGCGGCATCGGATTGTTGATGGTCCTTTCGGGAGCAGCCTACTCTCGGCCCGCGTGAATTCTATATCTCGCGGATTTCTTTCCTCGAATAAACGTCAAGAATCACTCCTCGGAAGAGACCGGAAGAGATCAGCCCTTTTCAGTCACCGTATGACGCGACGTCGCCCTTCTTACTGGTTAGAGGAGACGCGAACGGTGGTGCATGGCGCTAGCCCGCTCGCTCGCTAAGTGACAACGGCTGGGCGGCGTGTACGACGATCTTTAACCCTCGAGTAGGTATATCTATCCCCGATCCAGCCGATCGGCCACGGTAACAATCCAATCCGCCGTTCAAGACTAAACCCGTAAGACCGAACCGAAGCGTTCGAACTGGGATCGGGCTTACTTTCCTGTGCAGTCCAATCCTCCTTCTCTTCTGCTCTCGCCCTCCTGGCGCACTCTTCTCCTACTCTACACGCCGCGCCGGGCCCACACCACTTCGTTTCCACCACTCTCCACCGCCATCGCCACCCATCGCAATGACCGAATCATTAACTTCAGGAAGGGTCCTGGCTCGCGCTCGAGCAAGGAGCACACGCGCAGGGAGCGCGTTTCGCCGAACCAAAGCGACGAGAGACTTCCTTCCTATTCCTTTCTTTCTTTCTTTTGCGCGTCCCTGTTGTATTTGGGGACACGGTAGCGCTCTTTGACCCCCTTTTTCGAGGGAAGAGGGTTCTGTCTTTAATCTCCTGACCATTCTTGTTTTTTTTGACTTTGCATGTTAACCGTGGAAAAGATCCCTATATATGGTCATGGTCCAACATTTTAAACATTTATTATTAAAAAAAAATATATATAAGGATTTTTATTTATATTATTTATTTTTTAATATCATGCAAAGAGTAATTTTTTGTAGCATGTACTATATACGACAGTTTAAAAACATTCAATTGAAAAGTTTCCGGTCTGAGCAAGAAAGAGCAAAACTTGTATAGTAGATTGACTCTAAAAAGAAAGATAGCAGAGGCTGCTGGCATTTCATCTAAACGTGTACACGCCATCCTACCTGAACATTTAGGTATTAGAAAATTGAGCGCGCGCGATGGGTGCCGCGTTTGTTGACCGTGGATCAAAAACGTGTTTGATTAGATATTTCGGAAACGTGTATTGAACGTTTTAAGCGTAATAAAAATGATTTTTTGCGGCATTTGGTTACTATTGATGAGACTTGGGTTCACCACTATACACCTGAGACAAAACAACAGTCAAAACAATGGATTTCGAAGGGTGAATCGACTCCGAAGAAGCTAAAAACAGTTTTGTCGGCTGGAAAGCCGATGACCACAGTTTTTGAGGATTTCCACGGGATAATTTTTATCGACTACTTGCAAAAGGAAAAACAATAAACGAGTATTACGTGGCATGGTTTATCATAACGTTTAAGCACCGAAATCAAGATAAAACGTTCGCATTTGGACAAGAAAAAAAATTATGTCCCACCAGGACAACGCGCCGGTTCACACGTCAGCAATCGCGATGGCAAAATTGCACGAATTACCGTATGAATTGATTTCCCATCCACTGTACTCTCCACTGTACTTTGAAAAAAATGGCTATCTGGGAAGAAAGTTTCATCGGATTCTGCGGTAATCGACGATATAAATGGCTGTTTTTCGGATTTAGACAAATCTTATTTCATCGAAGGCATGAAAGGTCTAGAAAAACGTTGTAGTAAATGTATTGAGCTGAAAGGAGATTATGTTAAAAAATAAATTTTATTTTGCCCAAAAAAATGTTTTCTTAACAAGGCCGGAAACTTTTCAATTAACCCTTGTATTAGAAAAAATTGAATTATTTTTTGAGCGTATATTAAAAAAAAATCTTTATTGTTAATTCCAAAACCAATGGTCGAAAGGTCTTGACAATTATAATTAACAAATATGGCCAATTAGATCGAATAAAAAAAATCTTTATCATATAAGTTTTTTTACTATCACATATGTCTTTTGATTAGGAATTTTAATTCGTATTAAATATATACGTTTATGTTTTTTTATCCTATATTTCATACGTGCAAAAATGATGTCGATGTTTCGTATTGTTGGTATACACATTACGAATGCAGCGTATATTCACATTAATCCATAAACTCAACCGTCGTTTAACATCTTACGTGACCTATACCAGAAACATTCTTCAAAAATGGACTTGAACACCACTCGTGTAACTATGCCGGTCAAAACAACTTAGCGTGAGATTCTTTTTCCAAAGGGTAACTATTCAGGCGTGAGAAAGTTACCAATCAACTTCCTTTAGCAAACTATTGTAATTTTGATTGACAAAGAGAGTATATGTAACTATTAGCATTTCCATTTTCAAATCACAAATAACTTTATTGTATATAAAAATTACATTTATTATAATAACAAAAAATAAAAAGATTTATAGCATTTACAGGTAGAAAAGTCAAGTCAATACCTGATTTAATTATAGTAATTTGATCAAGTTTGGTAAATTCAGACTATATATATATATATAAAATGTATTATAAATATATATTATAAAAATATGTACATATATTTTTTATATGAAAAAAAATAAATAGAGCGCATATTATTTTTGTTCAATGAACTGCATCGAGACTCATGCGGAATAAAAGAAGGTATCGTGCGAAGGAAAAGGTCCTCTTAAAGGGTCCTTCTATCTTGACTTCGGGTCCTCGGTGTTGCAGCGAATCCTCTCGATGCGGAGAGTCCGCTGCACACACTGCTTACCGGGGCGACCTGTGTGGCATGAGAACGGGGCCCGCTCTTCCCACATAATAAACGACTTCGAAGAACGGTAGTGGCATTGACCTGAATCTATTAGGGCTCTTCGGTTTGGCGGTATTATAACTGCTCGTGAATCAATCCCTTACGCAGCAACAAATTCCGACCACACGAAAGTCCGGCTCGTTACTGTCCGGTTAGGACCGGGGTACCGCCGTCACTTTTCGCAGCAAGAACTTCTCGCAACTCCCTCGTACCCCTTCGGGGGATGCTGACAATATCCCCCCGATGTCATCGCAGCGTCCGCGCCTTAGCATCGACGGTGACGCGATAGCTTCGAATAACTGATTACTTTTAATATCGAGAGATTGTCTTTGATTTTACAATTAGCTCGATATATTCGGAAGATAATCCCAAATAGGAAAAGTTAAAAATAAAAAATATTATTTTCTTAACTGAACTGCTTAATTTCAGAAATTCCGGTACATTATTATACATATATAATGCGTATTGCGTATTACATATGATACTTTGTTTTTTATATATTGTTTTATTTGCTATATTGTGCTGGAAAAAAATACTAGCAGCATACAATTCCTTAAAAGTTTTCTTTATTTAATTCTATAAAAAAATGCATATTCTTTGGATAAATTATTTTTATTAATAAATAAAAACTAATTCAGTAAGAATTTAGTTTTTGATTGCAACGTCATGGCATCAGAGTTTATATAAACTAATTATATGATAATTATTTGTAATAATTTTGTTCATGTAATCGCAGGATTGTATTGATTTGAATAAGTTTTTTACAGAGTATGTCTGTTAATTTCGTTTTCTGCAATTTCTTGTCTCGGCATGTCTCGTAGAAATTTCTTCTAGTATCTGTAACGTCTGCAGAAAAAATACATCGAAGAATTAGATCTTAACAGTTGGCAAATAGATTATTTTTTTAAATTAACATCATTATAAATTGTGAAACAAATAGATATATTTTATCGTATCCATTTTTTGTCTTTTTGTCATTTAAATAAACTGTAAGTTATAATAGACAAATTAAAGCAAGTACATTAGAATACATTAGATGCCATTAAGTTATAATTATCAATTAATGAAACCACATGCAAATGCGGAAACGTGCTGATTTTAATGCGAGAACCGAGTAATTTCATATAGTGTTTGACTTTACAGAATCCGTTTCACTTTTTGAGTATTCAGACTCGACAGTTATACCTCATTTTTCTGCTTCTTATACCACGCGACATTGGTCTCGACTCTATTAATAACTTTTCCAATCGCGATGTCGTACTTCTTGCCCTTGCCTCTCAATCCCAACAGCTGAGAAGAAAAAAAAAGAATGTGACTCTTACATAACGATTTGACACTTTTAACACCCGAGGTTTACATAAGTACATTGGTTTCCAGAGAAAAATATCATGGTTTACTTTTCGATCCCTGTTAAGTTTCACTGCTCGCGCAATTTTCTTACCCATTCCACATCCTCTTCTTTACGAATGCGTTTCGAGAAGGCATCCAATATTTCGATCAAGGAAACATTTGCGCTGGAAGTAAAGCAACGAAGATGTCGCAGCGAGACAATAGTAGTCGGACGATCGTATAAAATGTACAGAGAAAATAATCAATAATTATTAAATTTTCTCTAATTATTTCTAGAGTAATTTGAAACAGAATAGTTATTTTATTACCAGTTGAAAATTTTATTTAACTTACTAATTATTACTTCCTTCCTGATTTGTGAACATGTTAAACTTATTCCAATGTTGAGTTATAAATTCTATTGCAACGTGATATCCGTATGGATTCAACGCGATGGACCTTAGAGCTATTTCTACATATTCAGACGACACATTCCTCTGTGAATGTATTACAGATAAATATCTGAAATTATAATATGCAAGAAAAAGAAATTGTAATATACATTTAAATAATATATTACAATTCGAAATAATAAAAACAAAAATGCTTAGTGCCTTTCATACTGCAATTGTTAAGACTTTCGTGTGTCTCACCTTTGCAACAGACTCGCGTTAACATGACATCCCAATGCGAATGCGAGGGTTTTCTTATCGTGCGCTGCTGATTCGTTGTATCTTTTCAGGAGTGCCAGCCATTGTTCCTCCGTGGCGACTTTCACGAATGTGCAGTACGTCCAGCTACGAAATTCTTGTGGCAAACTAGTTTAACAGATAATTTTTCTTCTATAATCTTCTAAAGGTTATCGTTCGTATTGTCATTTAAATTTAATACAAAAGCAATTTCATGATATTCAATTAACGTTAACGCATATACGTGATAGACAAATCTTAAAAATGAGCAATTATATTTTTTATTAAATGTACAAATAGTATTTGCAGTTACTTCGCTAGGTACGTACGAATCTGATGACTCATTTCGTAGCATTTCTCGAGCAAAGTTAAGGACCGCCGTTAAACATGCTTGATAGTCTACCGAACATGCCGATTTCATTACGTTGATCTCGAATTCTGTCCACAGCGTGGGAGCCTTATATACCACCGTTGGTGCCGTCTTGCTGTACACCTTATCTATAAACTTGCACATGACGAACTGGAAGAAGTTGATTAAATTTCCGCTTTTTGTTTAAGTGAAAAAAAAAATGAAGAAACAGACTAAGATAAACATATTAAATTAAGCGAGAAAAATTAATCGTATCAAGCTCAAGATTTAAATATAAAATTATCTACAGACTTTTTTTTTCAATACGTGCTAGGTTTAATTAATTAGAATATTAAAAAAATAAAAATAGCTGTGACAATTCAAAAAGTATCCTAAAAAAGAATGTAACAATCTGATATTATTATTTCAAATAGAGTTGTTTTTTTTTTTCGCCGTATCTCGTTTTCTTGAAAAAGAAAAACTGTCTGTGTGTGTCGCTACCGTATCGAGAGCGAATATCACTCTCCCGTTTCAGGGGATTCCGTTTTCGTCTTTAAAAACATCAAAGTGTTCTTGTGAAATTGCGAGGAAGAAGGTAAAGTAACCGGCAGCGATATTTATCGCAACATTATAGAGATCTGCGGTTGATTCGCACAAGAAGTAAGAGTAAGTAATTCCATTTATCCAGAATTTACGAGCAATAAACCGGGTGGATTAAAACGCAGAGATACGCCGCAACGTATTTATTTAATTTGGCACGTTAGGTTTACGGACGTGGAGAGCGCCTGAAGAAACCGCGGGGCCCGCCTCTCGTGCTCGCGGTGGAGGCCTTCTCTCCTCTCGTATATTTTTGCAATAATGGCTTCTGTGAAAAGGGAACTGCTACGGCAATATTGGTCGGCGCGAGTGCTTAATTAAATGTTACGTGCCTCGTATTTCGGTGCAAATAATGATTGAGTCCTCCGACCTAATTGAGAATGTCGAATCGTAACGACGGCCCGATGGGCCGATGATCACTTATATATCTGTCCCAGGGATAATCATATGCTTTATAATGCCATACTTAAGCCTTAACTGCGCGTAATAACGACATAAGCCGGAATTGCATAGCGGACGATTTAGATTGCGCGAAGCAGCGTCGATTATATCTCGCATATCTTATCGCGCCGCGGCCGTATAAATTAATAATAAAGGGAAATGTGCTCGCCTTTGCAATCTCGCGCAAATCTACTTGGAAGGACGAATAAACTTGACCGGGAGTCGCGCAACTCTAGAATGTTGCGAAAATACCGCAGATATTTAAAGATTTTAAAGGGTTCACTGCTTCACATGTGTACGATCGTCTCTTTATCGAAAAAATGGTCGATGCTTATAATTGAAAAAAAATTACGCTTTAATTACAATTTATTATTTGAATATCATGCATAAATGCGTAACTTCAAATATCGCCTCGGCAGTTTCAAATATTACCTTGAACAAGTCCGAGTCCCAAAGACGACGCTGGATGGAAGTCAATAAACGCAACGCGGGTGTCCACAGTATTTCTCCACTTTCTGCTTCCACCTTCTCAAGAATATTCCACATAATTCTTTTATCAAGCAGCCCGGCTTTAGCTATCGCGAACGAGTCGGTTAGTAACTGCACTTTGGTTATTTCCGGTAGAACTCGAAAGGACTTTGTTAACAGTTTCCAGTTCTCTACGTCATAGTTGACACGGTACAATGCTGTAAATAATACGATAGATATAAACTGTTAATTAATTATTAGTAGTCTTATACATTCAGAGAAATGGACAGTTCGTTCAAAAATTAACAAATGGATAATCCGATATTTTTAATCGGCTTTTCATAATTCCGACTAAAAATATCGGATTATCCATTTGTTAATTTTTGAACAAACTATCCATTTCTCTGAGTGTATGGATAAGTTTAGAGGCGACAGTTTCCGAAAAGAATATTGTAGTTGTAGTTAGTAAATTATTAATCTTTCTCGATGTTACAATAAACGGGATTGTTCTTGATATTTGATTGTTATAGCTTCTAATGTCCGCGATTTACGATAGCGATAAGACGATTTTTTAACACCCTATAATATATAAAACAAGTTCTTTATGAATTTATGAAGTAGCTCGAGTTTGTTTCAAAGGCTGTATTCCGATATTCACTGTCAGTACTGAAAATCTATATTTTATGTCACGTATACTATACATTTTCAGTATTCAGTTTACTGACAGTTGCTGACAGTAAATATCGGAGTGCAGCCCAAATTGATCGACACTAGTTATTGTCGGTATAAAAATACTTTATGTATTATCTTCTTAATTGATCGGCATATGTTACGACAGTGATATTACCCGTTTGATTGATATTGAACAGAATCCACTGGTTGTTGGAAGTCGCCCGGCTCAAAGCAATATCGTTAATTTTCATGCGTTTCTTGACCATCCATGCCTTCGGCAGGGTATTACTAAATTGCTCTTCATTTTCGGTTGTCCACGTCAACGGGATGTGCCATAACTCTTCGCTCGTTCTATTTAGGCCATAATGATAAAATCGGTCCTGAAACACAAACATCGCATAATCGAGCAATTTTTATCGACGTCCACTCTAGACATTTTATAATTATGTTTTACTTCTTTATTTAATTTACTACTTTTCATTATCATATAGCTTTATTGTAATATTATAATAAAGATTATAAAAATTGCAGTTTTAATAATAAAGTTTTATTAATAAAAGATATCTGTAATGCTTTGTAGTTTGTATACCCTCTCTCATCAATTTTTATATAATAAAATTGTAATTTTACAACACGCATAAACATGCAAAAGTATGTTGAAGACATTGGAGTTGGAAGAAATATTGTCGATTATTTATCCAAACAAGTTGATATAAAAATTATCAATGTGTTAGCAATTTATATTTATAGTTATCTTCCAGTTAAAAAAATAAATTAGCACTAAAATAAATTTTGTCATATGCGTATGTGCCGCATTAAATGTAAAATAATGCATCGACACATTTTTTTTAAATATAAAGCCTCATTAATTTGAGAAATTGAAAAGCCATGCACGGTTAAATATGGAACCTATCAAATTTTTACTAAAAAAGAAGTTGATCCCAAATTAATCGAAGGATCCGAAAGAAATTGAGGCATTCTGTATAATTTATTCGTGAACTTAAACCACGGAACCTCCTTTCTTCTTGTTGCGCCAAGAGAATAACGATGATTAATGTCGTCGTAAATGCATTCCATCGATAAATAATTTGTCGTCGACGGAACAAGATGAAGAAATGCGCCTGGAGATCGATCTGCGATAAACATCGGACGCACCTGCGTAAGCTCGATCGCACCGGTTTCTCGATTCTGTTGGACGCGCAGGACCGGGAAGCCGGCCTGATACGTCCAAGTACGCATAACGTCCTTCATGCGGAGTCCTGGGGAAACCGGTAGCCCCTTCGCTCCATCGATCTCCACTTGAAAAACGCTCCAGAGATCCTCCTGATCGGCGTTGCGATAGTGGTACATGCGCATGTAGTGGCGCACAGACGCGAGGAAGATCCGCTCGCCCAGAAAATGATAGATCATGTGCGCCATGCAATTACCCTTGACGTACGACGTCGTATCGAAGATGTCGGTGAGATCGCTCAGTTTCCTCAGATCAATATGCAATGGGTGTGCCGCTTCGCCGGCGTCGCTGTTAAACACGTCGTGACACACGAGCAGGAAATAGGCCCGCAGGTCCCAGGATGCAGGCTCGACCTGGAAGATCAAGCAAGAATTAATCGCGGCACAGTCGGCCAAATGCCACAACACCCATAACTGCAACGATAAAATTCATTCTCATAAAATTATTAAAACACGATAAAGATATTGAAAAATCATCAATCAATTATTAAAAAATTGTTAAAAATAGAAATATCAACTATCGATTTTCTGTTTAATTCTGTTTAACATAGCTTCGCAAAATTTGTATAGTTTTTTAATGGTGTAAAAATTAATATTTATATATTTATAATAATAATAATAATATTAAAGTATTATTAATATTATCTATATATAATAATAAAACTTTTTGTACGAAAAAAAATTTTTTTTTTATTTAAAAGAATACTCAAACAATTTCTAAACAAACAAATTTCTTTGCTTTTGAAAAGCAAAATTGTTACGTGAAGTAATTAAATAATAAGTTTCAGATAAATGTTCTTTTTTTAGGAATTTGATTTATATCCACTTTACCGCATTTAGTGCTAGGATTCCGAAAAATGAAGCGAATCCTTCTTTCAACCACACTTCATCCCACCATTTTGGCGTTACCAAATTACCGAACCATTGATGGGCGATTTCGTGCGCTGCAATAATAGCCAATGACTTTTTGGTCTCAACAATACTGTCATCTTTCTTTATAAGAATAACTTCTTCTCTGAAAACATCAATATAACTTTTAATCTAAATTGCGCACAAAATTCTAATAATATTAATTTGCTGTGCGAGAAAAACATAACATTCTGAAGTAATTGCAATCACAAATTCTTATTGAGGAAAACCCGAATGCGAATCACGCTTAAAGACGACGATTCTTAGAGTATATCTAATACCTTTCGCAAAAAGGTTGAACTATTGCGGAAAAATAATTTCGTTTACCGAAACGTTATAAGGCCCCAATTTTCCATCGCGGCATACTCTAATTCAGGAACCACGATCACATCCAGTTTATCTAATTCGTAATAAGATCCGGTAAAATTCTGTATCACACGGAGAACCTTCGGTATCAGATCGCCGACGTATCTCGTGTCATTCGCGATCTCTTTCCGGAAAAAGATCGTGTGCGACGGTCGATCGCGGACGGCGACGTCGTAACTCGAAAAATCGGTGACCATAAAGGCGACCAAGTAAGTGGGCATCCGGAAGGTTTTCTCATAATGGTCCCAGACGTATCCTGGCATGCCGTGTCTGAGAAAAGGGGAGACTGGATTAAACTCGGATTATATTCTTTAACGAAACGATTGTAATTACTGTCGGGGGATGCGATTAGCGATGTGTACGTATGTTACTTATACAGCACAATTGAATTGCTCTCTTTTACATTTCCTCGGTGAATTTGCGCATGGAGTTCGAGTGCGATCGCATGTGTGACTTTCTGCCGATCGAGATGCGAAACGGCGTCTTGATCCACGGCTCGTCGAAGCACGGGTAAGCTGTGCGAGCGTAGTCCGGAGAGAAGTTCGACACCGCTATCCATCTGGGAAGAAATGTCCGCTTTCGCAATATGCAGGTATAACGTAAGTTGCGTTAAACATAACGTCGTAAAAAGAAGCAACACTTATGCACGAAATCGTAATACCTGGTTTCGTTTGTATCACTGTCGATGTACGAGCTCCTAAAAAATCCGTTTGCAGGTTTTTGATCAAGCGGGATCATATATTTTATGTGTAAAATGTAAATCTCCCTCGCTATCAATACATGTAAAAGAAAGACGTCGATAAAGCCCTCATCCGTTACGAGGTACGTGTTCATTAACTTCGTTGCATTCGGTGAACTGTATTCCTTCACGCTAATGTCTTGTATGAGGAGCTTGCGGGCGTGAAGTCGTACGTGCTTAGTCGATACTTTGGAATAAAATTGGATCTGTGCATCGCCGATCATTGTGAAATTTTTCTCTTCTAATATGGGTAGTATTTTCAAACTGCAGTGAAGAGAGAAAAATTGTAACATGATATTAAAAACTAAGATGATTAACTAAGAAGAATTAACATTATTATTATTTTATTTGTATGTCTTAAAAGTCCATATTTTTATCGTTTCCATTTCGTTTTTATTGTTGCATTTATTATTTTATTTGTTATTCTAAATGTAAATATCTCATTTTCTGGCTATTACCGTGTCTATAGTTTCTAATATTAATCCTAGCCGTAGTCTGACAAGTAAAACAAATGAGATTAAGTGCTGCAAATATTTTAGTTTAAGTCTGCGATGTCAGTCACTAATGATAGATGCGGCGCGGACAGAGAAGACGACATCAGTCAAAGACTAACACAGTGACAAATTTGTCAATATAACATATTATTTCAACTTTAAATATAAAATAAGAGAAGACGCATTTATTTAAATATTATACCGCAGCATTTAAATAGCTTTCCTCTTTTGTTATGTCATAGCTTTAATTTTTTAATATTCGAAAAATCTTTAAAATTTTAGAGAATAGTCAAAGATCGCAGCGAGCAGAACATTTTCTCTTCGTTGTTTTTAATGTTTCCGGTGATCAATGATCGGAAATATATCGCGTTGGTGTGTGCTTACGTATATTCTAACGGTAAAATCTGATCGGACAGTCTCTCCAAATGGGCCATTTTGCGAGACTTCCCACCGGTCGACCCCCTGTATCTACCATCCCGCCGATTTTCCATGCTCGAACTGACGAACCAGTAAATGATCATCGAGCCGACGCAGATGAGTATCACCACCGCGATTCGCGTTCTCACGTGCCATCCACGCCTAACGTAAGCCGGAATTTCTGAAGCATTTTTTCCATGAGTTTAAAATTTTATTTATTTGTTCAACAAGATAGGCAAGATAATAGCAAAGATTATAGTTTTCAATCTTAATGTCTGTTACTTTGATTAGAATTAGTGATACGTAGTCATACCTAGCTTGTCTTTGATTAATCTATATTAGCTTTTCTGGTGGAAAAATGTCTCAGAATTTTTTATATTATTAATCAGAATTTCTATGAAAATTTTAAGATCTTAGAATTTCAAGATTTTCTCAGATTTTCTATACAAATTGGAACATTTTTTAGAAAAACTCAGACAAAATAATAATGAAATATTTCAGATTTTTCTTACCAACACATCTTTGTAGAAATCTGAATAAATATGAGAAAATCCGCGCAATTTATCAGAAATTTTCATACATACAGATACTGAAATATTTCAAAAATCCTCATCCAAGTATTTCTTGAAAGTATCTGAGAAATTTGATATATTTTTTCAGTATTTCTTACAAATGTAAAGTATGAGAAATTCTTAGGAAATTTCTAAGAAAGTATAAGAAATTTTTTTCACCAGGGTTCATCTTTGCGAAAGAAATAATTATTCTGTGATTTTTATAAAACACTGTACAAGTTGTCGTGTGTTACATACGATTGATTGAAATATGATGAATATATGTGTTTCTTGTATCGCACGTTTACAAATTACATTTTTTAACAAGCTCTTCTTTCGACGCAACCCTGCTTTTACCTTGCGTCGGGTTATCCTCCATGCTTGCCGGCGACGAAGAGCTACGCTCCCGCAGGATCTAGCGATCGAACGAACATCGCCACGACGGGTAACTAGCGGCTACTGCGTCCGAAAAGCAGAAAACGGCGTCAAGGGCTTGTGGTTCGACCAGATACGCCCGCCAAAAATACACCGGCAGACACTTGTACATTTCCCTCCTCTGTACTTTACACCGACGTTTACTGTCGATCGCCATTTGCCCGAAACTTTTTTGCGGGCCGTCCGTCGTCGTGACGAGTGCGCGTCTCGTTATGCAACGCGTCGTCGAGAATACACGAGCAGCGCCGTCATCTCGCGTTTATAATTTATAGGCTTCCGGTAAATAGCCGAAGGGGAAGTTCAGGGTCATTTCGTCCATTAATCATCGCGCAAGCATGATAGACAAAATTGGCTGGTACCAGAAAACAATTCTCGCTGGTACATGTATAACGTTTGCGGAATACTGCAAACTTGAAGGTGATGAACGTTTAATTAGACGTCTACGAAGTGTAAGACTATATCAATTAATCGACTATATTTCAAATCGCTTGCTATTTATAGTTAAAGTTTATAGATATAGTATAAAGTTACAGTACACGAAAAAAAATGATGTTGTATCAACAGCATCAGTGTAAGTTGAGATAATATCTATTGATGCAACATCAATATTAATGAATAAAAAACATCAAATAATTATTTTAATAATATAAATATTTGGTTCAATAATATCCAATTGAATTTATAACTATGCTTGCGGCAACCCGAGACGTCGACGTTTAATTGAAACATTATTTTTTTTCTGTGTTACAGTTTCTTCATAGACTGACAGATATTTTTACAAGACACAATATAGGCTTCTTTAAATTCTTTAAATTACCGTATAAGTGCAATTTTTCACAAGTTATGAAATATGGCGGTTTTTTATCAATTATTATTTAGCAACTTAGAATTATTTGTGATTTTTGCGTCAACGGGCAGTTAATTCGTTTAGTAGACCGATTGGATAATCGCGAGCCACACGTGGGTGTCTAATGTATGCTTAATGTGCTGCGACTATGGCCCGTAGATATGTCGGCATTAGCATCTAACTTTTGAATTAGTTGCATGAGAATCGTTGCTCGGTTGCTGATGAGAAAGCCAGACACCTACACTCATGGATTTATACTCGAAAGGAAGACTCGACTGAGCCCGCAACAAGTGTTCATTGTGGGATTTTACTTTTTTCACGTTACGTCCCACGAAACTTGGGACTCAGTTTCATATAAGAAAAGAACTTTAGTTTATGAGATATTGTCTACTCTGATCATTTTTCTTGAAAAATAATCGTGGGAAAAGGAAGCTTCTATCTTTAATAATTCAGTTATTAATAAAAATTGAAATTTACCGTCACTCAAAGAAATTCAGTGACTATAATTGTAAGCTATCTGAACAATACCTATTGATCTTCAACGCAACCGTAATAATTGTTTTCTTATAGAGCAAAAAGCTCTTATTTTTCAAGGAATGTCAATTTAGAAAATTAAGAAAATTGACTCGAAGTTTAGCTTTATTTTGAAAAAACGTATTGCATATTTTAAAACTTTATTTTTATATTATTAAAAAGAAGATATTAAGATACAATTCCCAGAGAGCACTATAACGTCTCGAAATCGCTTAAGAGACGTCTAAGATTTCAAAGACATCTCATGAAATTATTAGAAAAATATAACTGTATGTCTTCGATATATTGTTTTAAGATATCTTTAAAATGTCTTATTTGAGATTGATATTAGATGTATGTAATTTTGGTCAGTAATAGCTTCAGGTAGTAATATATACATGTCCAAACAAAAAGAAAGCTAAGAAACGCTTAGTGAAACTGATGATTACAATTACTAATATGTCAATAATTTAATACATAATTTTGATAACAATAATTTAATATCTTTATCAAAAATTTTATATAATTCAAACTTTATATAATTATTAATAGGCAAAGAATTTATATGTGTGTATATGTACGCAGAGACAGTCACTAAAAATTTATAACAAATTTTGTAATTTTTTAAATATAATAAAACATACATCAATAATATAAAACTTTTCTCTTGCAAATAAGAGAACTTTAAGTTTGTGAGTTTTAACTGCGAAAAATTTAAATTCCGAGAGATTAACAAAACATTATATATAGAATATAATTAGGAATAAAGTGTGAAGAACAAATCATAACTCTTAAGTATTTTAGTTTTAAAAATTAGACCTTTATTATTTCTTTTCTTTTATTTACATCATGAGCAGAATTATCACATTCATAATTTTAAATAGACAAAATATTGATTAAAGACCAACAGTTTTATGAAAGAGCTCGTGACTGTCAAAATTTGGATGCAATGGATAATGTAAATAGCTATACATGTCACAAAAAATATCCTATAAAATATAACTCAAAAAATCTTAAAGATTTCTTTTAATATCTTTTGATAAAATTTTAGATAGATATCTGAGTTATATTATTCTATATAAATATTTATCTTTCTTTCTCTAGACGATACAGAGATATCTTATTCATCTTTTTTTCTGAGATGGAAAAATTAATATGTCATGTGATTAACAATAATGACGGTATTTAAATCGTTCTTTATAATTTTGCGAATTAAATTAGTGTTTTATTTTTTATCTAGTATGGAAGATGTTAGAGAAGCTAGTGCTGCGACACGTGAAATTCGGGAAACGCGTTTCCGAGCGGGCGTTCCCGTCCTCGCAGACTGCTCGGCACCACTTCGCGGCTAGGAGTGTCTCGTGTTTCAAGGAATCTCACTTCCTGTGCCGAGAGCCGAGTGCTTCGACGAGGTGGTGGGCCTCTCGTTGCGTCTCTTTCGGCATCGTGCAAATGTGAGCTACATTCGGAGGGGGTGGCGAGCGCTCGAGAGAGAAAGCCAAACAATGTCGATGACTAATGGAGACTCGTGACCCTCGGGAAGGAATCGACCCTTCGAAATACCGCGTCGGGGTCCGGCCGGTGGTGGTGTCCCATCCACCCATTTTCTCACTCTCGCGCGGCCGTCACCTTTCGCTCTTTCTCTTTCTCTCTCTTTCTCTCTCTCTCCTCTCTTTACCCCTCTGTTTTCTTAGGTGGGCCCCTACCGAGATTGACTTACGCTCCTCGTTGATGGAGTAATGGCCATCCTCAATGAAACACCAACGACGAAATCGTGAATGAATCGGCTCGGCAAAGGAAACAGTTTGATTCCTTTTCTCTGCAGCTTTCTTATCTTCGTCGATTTCCTACTAAATTCTTAAAAAATTTAAAATTTGTGACAACCGAAACGAATGATTTCTTCCTTTCTAATATAGCATTACACACTTGTCTCATAGTCGGAAGTTAGTATCATATTTCAAAATGGGGGAGAAATCCGGATCACGTTTGGACGGTGGTGTGCTACTATAAATACTATATATATAAAAACAAATATATATTAATGTAATTTAAACATAAAATGATTAATTATTTAATGATTTTATTTAATTATTCAAATGATATAAAATATTATTGATTAAAATATAAACCTTTAATTTTAACTCAGTTTTTCTTTATCTTATCTAATTATCTCGACTTAAAGAAAATTGTTTGGCAATTTTAAGACAAAAGGTACAAAAACATATGTTTAAAATATATTTTAACTTTACAAAGTAAGTTTTTAGATATTAAACAAATAAATTTTAGAATTAATATAGATATTCTAATTATCTGAAATATATTCCTAATTGGCTATTACTTGTCTCGTTCGACACTCGTGGAAACACATTACTGGAAACTTATTGTTAGCGGTACTCAGATAAAACAATTCGCAAAAACAACGCTCTTCACATACGTTGTATAAAATTCTCTCAATTCCCGACAAATATATAACTCGGAGCAAAAAACTCAGCTGCCGTTTCGTGTGTCACCATTTCGAATTCTTTCGCGAACGCCGACCAGCCACTTTGGAGGCTGCGAGGAACGATTCACGCTGGAGGGATTGGCCTGGCCAAAAAGCCGAGGGAAACGTAGAAGAAGATTCCGGAGCTTCCGTGGCCCTACTCCTACGACTCTCCTCCGAACGTTCTCGGCGTTCTCCACGACATTCTCGCTGCCCTATGACGGCGCCGTCACATGTGCTCCGTTTGACATTTCCGAGTAGGCACTAACGCAATTCGCATCCATCCGCGCGCGGAGTGATTCTACGATGAACCTGTGCTCGCTTATCAACGAGATATAGTGACAATTAATAGATATTACATATCTATCCATTGTGATGGAAATTTAACGTTACCACCTGAAATAATATTTTAACGCAAATTCGGAATTTTACGCAATCTTATCAAGAAAGTAAATATAAGAACCGTAGCGAAAAAATACGAGCAAAGAATATAAGAAAGATCATTATCTAATATTTAATTCGTTTCTTTTGTAACGTCCGATTTTCTTTCTGAACGGATATAAGTGTTATTAGGAACTTATTCTTCCTAATATTCTTCCGCTGTTTTCTTTTTCATATAAGTATAGATGAAAAAGATAAAAGAACAAAGAAACATAAAAATGAATAATCATTGAGAAATCATTGCCGATTGTTTTGCGCTTGATAATTTTTCTTTATTGATCCTTTCCAAAGAGACTCGTATAAAGAATTCGCAAATTGTGGCACGCTGAAACTGTCAAAATCTTTATTCGTTACTATGTCGTGGTCGAAAGATACGATAGCGAACAGCCATCGGATATCCGACAATTTCGAATTACCGCCGACACCGCCAACACCGTCGTCTCTACATATGGAAGGGCAGAACGCGAGATCAGCAACAGGTTGCGAGACCTCGTGGTACCACAGGTGGTCCTGGAGCAACCCGTCAAATCCTTGTAGCGGATTCGACATTGCGACCGACGATACCGCTCGTTTAATCCCGCCGCCTTACATCGTGAATTTTCTCCAAAACACCGACAGCAATCAGAATTATCGCACGTGCAGGTAAGAAATGTTAAATCCGATGGGACGCGTGGCGTATAATTAATATTTCTTCTGGCATCTTACTTATTTACTATCTGAGTATTTTATTTAGTCAACATAAAAAAATTCTTTAAAGACAACTCTTAAAAACATATGTTTACATTTATGAAAATGTTATGTATATTTTGCACTCTAAAGAATATCTATTCAAAAATATCTTGCTTTGATAAAATAAAAAAATGAATATTGTGACTCATAATTTCTAAAGTCACGTTATTCTTTGATAATTATTGTACAATTAACAGCTTTTAGAGTTTCTATTATAATTTGTTATTTCTCCAAAATAGATAAAATTAGTAATTTTTTTTATCATAATTGTGTCGCGCAATTATTATTACGATGTATTAAATCTTATATAATTATGTATGACTATAACATTTAATTTTCGTAAGATGGGAGCAATATTCCCAGCAAGATGTAGCAGATTTTCATCCAATAATCGAGCAATTAAATGAAAAGGAAGATGAGAGATCTTTGAGTAAACCTGAAAATTTATTATACGAGAATAATCAAGATCGCCGTGTGACGACGACGACAAACACGGGAACGACGTTTCGCACTTGGGAGATGCCTCATTTGCAGAATATGGACTGCGAGCATGAGAGCAAGTATCAATCTTGGCAGGATTCGCAACATAATGAGAATCATGCGAATTCGTTCTTCGGAGAAAATACACGTCCGCATCAACGAGAAAAAGGTAATGCGTTATTTCTTAATTAATGACCCCAAGAGAAAGCCCCAATTTCACCAACCACGGTTAGCTTAACCGACGGTTAAAGTTAGCAGGATTGACCAATAGAAATGAATCCACCCTGCTAACTTTAACCGTCGATTAAGCTAACCGTGGTTGGTGAAATTGGCTCTGTGAAAACCTATATATATATTAAAGCTATACTAAATTAAAATTATGTTAAAGAAGTTCTGTGAAAGAACCATTCACCATTCAGATAGAAATTGATTAAAACTTGTTGGAAAATAGTTTTAATTCTATTTAAATTATTCTGAAGCAATAAATCAAACCGTTATACAAATTCAACAAATTCTAATAGCTGTGCACAGCTGTGCGTAATAAATTAGCTGGAAACATATTCCGAGTCGTAGCTTCGACAGATTTCTGACGTAAATCATTGACAATACAGTTGGAAGTTTTATGTCTTTAGTGTCGCCAATGCGGCCATAACAGGCCCAGTACAATCTAAATGTTTATCGGAAGTCTAACTGCATCGAGCTGGTATACATCTTGCATAAACGTCATGTATCTCTAGTTATTACATTGATATTTAACGTATTCTGCCTACACTGCTATTTGTTGAACAGCAAATAAAACTTTTACGTCGAGAACTGTTTCTGACATGAACTGAATAGAACAAATAACGAAATCATCAATAAAACTAAAATTAATTAAAATTAAAATCGGTATCTATATCTTTTTTCCCATTAGAAATTTCTAACATCTTGATTAACACATTGTCTATATTAACATTGTTGAATATTAAACGTTAATTAAGAGAAGTATTATGAATGATGACAGGAATCCAAAACGGTGAAGAATGGCTGCAATTAATATTCCAATAAAATCCACGTGCTTTATTTTACTTCTATGTATTGACAAGCAGTGCAACTTTATGACACAATATTTTTTTACTTCTTTATTTAGAGACTTTTCTAATCAGATAACTTTCAAATATAAAAAAAAGTTAAATTGAGACGCTTTAATTTATGGAATACTGTATCATATTTTTATCGTATGAACGTCAATATACATTAAGCCATTCCGAATTTGTAAATTGGTAGCGTCAAAATGTGTGGCTTTAGCTACTTCGTTTGATGTTACTCTCGTGTTGCTCTCGATAGTGGCCATCGATGCGGGCCGCGGGCTAGAGATCCCGCGATTGACGTCAGCTCGGCAATTACAGCCGAGATAGCGGCACGGAAGCAAAGTTAAGGGCCTCGAGAGCCAGAGCGTGCGCGCGCGCGCGAGAGAGAAAGAGAGCCTTTCGCTCTCTCGACACGGCCACGTGTCGCATCGCGGTATAGAGAAGCGCGCTTCCAGCAAAAGCGGGTTTCGCAAGCGGGCTTCGGTGCATCGTACATGCGCGGTTATTTTCATCTGAGGCCGGCGACAAAAAGTCGCCGACGAGCCGCGAAATCTTGCCGCGGAAAACCACGTGGCAAGAAGATCGAGCCGGATGATGAACGCGTTATGTCACCATCCGGAGGAAACTGGATCATTAAGAGATATGCTCTTAACGGTCTTAACGCAAACGGGAAGGGTGGGAGGAATTAAGGGCATATATCAGAAAACACTCTCTTCAGATAGTACATGAGCTCGTTTTTTTTTCTAATTACACTTTACTATGCTTTCTATACTAAAATTCAAGCGAATATATCGGCTTGAAACATAAGAATTACGTTCATTATAAATTCCATATTACTGTCCTGAATAATATATATAAAACTACTTTTTTGCATTTAAATTGCATTTAAAATTATCTATCTATATTTGTATAGATTTTTAATCATTGATATATTCTTTGCGAAATTAGACGAAAATAAGACTAAAGAGATATAGAAAGTATAGCTAATTAAAATTGAACATGTAAACATATTTCTTCGATAGAATATATTTAAGATTTGAGGATTTTGCTAATCTGAGTAAAGTGCGTTGCTACGATTTATTATTTGTTCTGTTGATCGCAGAAACAACAAAGAGGACAAGCGACAAGCCGCGGAAGGAGAGAACCGCGTTTACGAAGCAACAGGTCCGACATCTCGAATGCGAATTTGCTCATAGCAATTATTTGACACGTTTGCGCCGCTACGAAATTGCCGTAGCATTGGATTTGACGGAACGTCAGGTAGATTATAAGCAATTAAATGGAATGTAGAATTTTTGTATCTTTTTATCGGTAAAATCATATTTCTTACAGGTGAAAGTGTGGTTTCAGAATAGGCGCATGAAATGGAAGCGAACGAAAGGGAACGCGGCTACCGTACAGGAAGCAACCACTGCATCGTGACATATATTCTTCGAGTGCGTTAATTAATTAATTCAGATTTAATTGTACATAATTTATATAAATGCAAATCATTCAGTTTAGAATTTTATCCAATGTTCCAGACATTTGTAGAATATGGTGTCGTATATAGATGAATTCCTATTGTTTATTTAATGCAAGTAATCAATTATATAAAGTACTTAAAAATAAAATAAAGCTAGATATCTTTAAATATTTGTTACGTTTCCGGTGCATCGACGGGTTGAAATTTCATGCTAATTCCCTTGTCTTTTAGTTTACTTTCTAATGTAGAAAGTTTCCTGAGCGATCTCTTAACGTATCTCTCATGATCCTCAGCACTTTGAGTCCGATTTCTACGCAGTGTTACCTCTTTTCTTTTCACCAGTCTGGGATATTTATCTTTCGACCAATTTACGCCTGCGAAAAATCCGAAGTGCTGCTTCTCAGGTGGAATATATGTAGCTAAAAAAAGGCATTCGTAAAGAAAGGCAATTAACTAGGAATATTAATGTAAATATAAATAAAGCAAATACCTTTTAATAATCGGCCGCACATGAGATAATTGTTCATGGTGTCTGCTGCAATTCTAGCAACATCTGGATGAAGGAATTCAACATAGCCATAGCCACGACTACTGCCGGTCTGGAAATATATATATTTTTTAATAAGCTCATTACATACAGTCATAAAACAGTTAACAATTTATTTAAACATATACATACTCTTTTAGATCTTGCTATTCGTACTCGCGTTACATTCCCAAACTGTTTGAAATAGTCGTTCATTTGTTCCTCATAAAATCCATGAGGTATGTGCCCTACATAGACCAATCCTCTGGGTCCCAATTTTCGCGCTTTGAACTGTTTAGATTTAGATTCAGGTCCAGTTTTGGGTTTTGCTAAACTCGCCTCCTTCTTCTTGGCGGCTTTAGCTTCCGCTCTCTTTTCCTAGAAGAAAAGAATATTTATTGTTAAATATAAACACTTGCTAGCCTAGCAATTTAAATCTATGTTAAGAATTTTATTCAAGCAATTGTGTCACAATTCGTAAAAGGGCAACAATCATTATAACAATTACTAATTCGTTAATAAGTTAAATAACAGCAATAATAGCAGAGCAATATAAATTAGCACAAATATATAATAAAATAATTTGATAAATACAAAATAGCACAGAAATAAAATTAAAAAGCAACGGATACGTTTTCTATTGGAGGTTATGTCGATACCTTGAAAACTTGCTTGACATTTTTCACAGCCTTCTCGAGGCTGGCGCCTGCTTTCGGTTTCAATATCTTCTGTTTGCTCTTAACAACTCTTCTCAGGACCGACTCCTTGGATGCCGCGTCTTCTTTTTTTGTCTTCATATTTCGATCAATCAATCGATCAAAACACTAAACGTTTCAACGCCGCCACGTGCACGCAATATAGGTTATAGAAAGAGACAGTGCATATACAGATTCGAGGATGCGTTCAGAAAACAACAGAATTCAGTGATAGGTGGTGATTGGTGATAGGCTTCTGGAAAACTGGATCTTTGATTGGTAGGTTTACAATTCAATAAGCCAATCACAGGCAATGGTTACTAAATTGTTACGTTTCCTGAACGCAATTTTTAGGCACAGTGTGTGTCACGATGGCGTAAATAATATTTATGCTGGAATACAAAAATTGCACTGTTAGCTCCTGAACTTGGAAGTCAGCCAAGCTTCGTATACTTCAACTACTTGAAAATCAAGGTTATCAATCAGGTTATTTATCTTTACTGACTTAGGTTTTTTTAACAGTCTGGTTTATGTCAAGATTTACATCACTAGCAGAATATTCCCTTTGTGCTATGAATTTAAGTCTTATTTACCAAAATAAAGTATAATACTTGGTCTTTTTAAAGAAACTGATTACTGAAGAAGATATTTAAATATATAAACTTAAAACTTACAAAAAATTAGAATATCTTATTGTCTCAAAGTATTCATATAATTTCAGTATATTAATACATCAACATGTAACATTGTTCTGATGAATTTCACTTATCTTTTCATTTTTTTTTTCTTATAATTTTTTATATATAATTTAACTTTAAAATTATGTAATCCATAGGTAAGGGAACCAAAATAAAGGATGGCAAATGTGACGGAGAAAAGATCCGACGTGGAGTTACTACCGTGCAGCTTCAAATTTCATGACTTTACTGCCAAAGTCAGCGATGTTAATATTAATTGCCAGATAATAAAGATGGAAGATTGCTTGTATCTGTGGATTGGAGATTCCGCTAATCGCATCATGGGAGATCTGTCTTTTGCTCTTGCGTCAAATCTTGAGAGACAGCAGCCTATTGCGACTAAGATCATGGGTTCTGTAGCCGATGCGACATCCATGAACATGGCTAAGAGATTGAGCATGAAGTTTGGAAAACCAATATATGTTAGTTTTAACATAACTGCAGACAACATAGTATTGCCAGGAATCGAAAGAAGAATCCAAGAGGAGTTCAAGACACATGCAGATCTACTAAGTTTTTGACTTTGATTATTGACAAACAATTCTCGAGATACTTAAAGATACTTTTGTATATAATTAATATCTTTCATACATTGTGTAACTTTTCTTATTAATAAACTTTTAATATTTGAAATTATTTAACACCGTTAATGAAGAATAATCTTTATAAAGAATAACATGATTATTTGTCAACTATTATAAAAATGGGAATAGATTACATAGTAATTTATTAGTTCATTAATAGAGAAGCAAATATAAATTTTTATATGTATAGTTTCATAAAGAATGCGTGCGCGAAAATGTGAATGTGTGAGAGAAATAGAAATATATTTTGTAAAAATAAAAATGTTTTGCATAAATTTTAAATAGCCTAAATTAGTAAATAAAAATTAAAAATAAAAGCTGATGTAAGCCCTAAAAAATTTTCATAATTAGAAAAATCTAAATCTCAAAAATGACCAATAATAATTAGCTTTGCGAATTTACATATACTATCAAATGTGTATGTTTACCTATATATTTTATATGCGTAATCGCAATACGTTAAAAAAATATTGCAGCGATATGTTTTAAAAAGAAACTAAACGAAAAAAAATTCGACTTGGTCAAATGGCAATTGATTTTTGCTTTTAGACAGAAAATTGGCTTTTTTGAACATTCAACAATCGATGCGCGAATATCTCGGCAGAGAGAAGTCGGAAATATCCGTGGCTAGTTCAAGTTCAAGGTGTATGTAAGAAGAGGCGCCAGTAGACGTCCAGAGCGTTCAGGCTTCTCTCTCTATAGATTTATTCCTCGCAACTACACTATTGTGTACTATCTGCACTTAAAATGAAATAGATATATGGCTACACAATGAAAAAGAAAGAGATGAGATGAAACGTACAAGAAGAGAAGTTCAACTGAACAAAACCTTCTGCCGCTGCCGCCTTCGGGAGTGGGAAGCTCACAGAGGGACCACGCAGGACCACGTGTTTCTCACGTCGTGGTCGTAACCTGTTTTAATCTCTTTCTTCAGCGTTACGAAGCCGAGTTGTGATTGTACTTTTATAACTTTAGAATTGAAAGCACTCGTCCAAAAGAAACTTTCTCCGGGGCATTCTGCGCCAACAATGTTCTCTGTTTTTTTCAAATAATTAATTTAACTCCGGAATAATCAAGATGTTAACTAAAAATTTATCATTTTTCTGTGAACGAAATCAGAGATATGAGCAGAGATTTTCATCTTTTGTAGAAGTGAGTATCGTTATTTTTTAAATATTGCTTTATATTTATTGTAAATTCCTGCAGATTTCTTCCTAATTATTATTTATTAATTTTAGTTCTTAGTTTTAACCCAAACTTGTGTACGTCTAAAATAAATATAAATTTAATTTTCTATTTATTTCTTTACAGGAATGTAATAAACTTGAACCTGACAAAATTTTGGAAATATTAAGTGAATTTTTGATGCAACCAGAGTGCACAAAAGATGTTGCTGACTGTTTTCCAGAATTGTTACCAGCGCTTGTTTCTGTAGCGATACCTGCAGTTGACGTACAATCGTCAGCATTAACGGACAAGGACAAGGTTCATAGATTAAACTGTGTCATATTAGGAAAGCTGGTTAATATTAATCAAGATTTACTAGTGTACGTATTTGTTATAAACTTTTTACTTTTTGCAGTAATAAGTTTACTTTATAAAATCCTATGATGTTTAATGTATGCAAGATTAATGAGCAAAAAATTTCAATTTATGAATTTCTTTGAGTGATATGCAAAGTGGGATAGATTTACGCTAAACATTAAATAGTATAAAGTATTAAATTAAAATTAAATTTTTGTAACTAAATATTAGTTATTTGTTCTCAAATTTAAAAGTTAAATGTTGAACATTAATGTTCTCTGTTTATTACGAAGAAATTTATATATTTTCTTATTTTAGGTTTGTCTTACGTTACTTTGATAATAACCTAGCTCCATTCGAACATCTCGACAACTCTCTTGATACAGTTCCACCTCCAAAGAAACAAAACAGAAGAAAATTTTCATGTATCTTAGAAGTATCTGACTATGACATTGCTATCGCATGTCACAATATCTTGCAGTCTGCTACTAGCCATTTTAAGCAAAAATGGCATTGGTCTGCATTTTACAAGTATTTAACAAATGCAGATGACAGGGTGAAATGGTAAGTACATTGCAAGAAACTTAATAAAATCTTTTTTCCAAAAATATATGTAATATATCCCAGAATGATATTAATTAATTAATCCATCTATAATTGTTTGAAAGTAAAAATTTGCTAATTTGATTTCAGGATCGCCTTAAAATGTATAGCTATAGTTTTGAACATGTCTGAATCAACAAAACTGTTGCGGGCACAAACAATCATTCCAAATTTTGAAAAATTTAAATTAAAATTTTTAATTGACCATGAAGACAAAGGCATAGATACTAGCATTGCCTGTGCCAGCTTTGAGTCAACGGAGGACACAGTTAAAAATATCCCATCTATCGTATCTGTTGGTGGCATTTTATTGCCCACTCTCGGCAGGAATAAAAGCACCCACAATTTAGTCGCGGTTTCTTCCACGAAGAAAAATCTGCAAAGTCTGGCCATAGCCGTTGGCTCCAGGAAATGTATCTGCCTGCAAGGACCAGTTGGTTGCGGTAAGACGGCTCTGGTGGAGTATTTAGCCAGAATCACTGGACATGATACGTCGAACTTCGTTAAAGTGCAGTTGGGCGATCAGACCGACTCGAAGATGCTGCTGGGAATGTACAGGTGTACCGACGTGCCTGGCGAATTTGTTTGGCAACCGGGTGTCCTCACACAGGCGGTTGTCTCTGGCAAATGGCTACTCTTAGAGGACGTGGATAGCGCTGCCCTTGATGTAGCCAGCGTTTTGAGCAATCTGGTGGAAACTGGAACACTCAGCGTACCCGGCTATCGCGATACCATTTATACCAACAGCGGTTTCCAGTTATTCGTTACTCAGCGATTGATGATGTCCACAACGGGCATTCAAAAACATGTCACAGGAGCATCAAGTTTGTTGCAAAAGCATTGGCTGTGCCTAAACGTGGAACCTCTGTCCAAGGACGAATTAGTGACTGTGGTCCAAACACTGTTTCCAGTATTGAGCACTATTGCTACTAAAATAGTAGATGTATTCTTGTTGTTCTCCGCAGGAGATCACGACGGTGAAAGTAACGCAAGTGATGCTATACTATCACTGAAGATTGGACGACAAACGTCGACGCGAGATTTAATAAAATGGTGTTCCAGAGCTGTCATCGATTACAGAGTTTCATCGTCAGATTCTCTATTCAAAATATTTCAGGATGCTGTAGACGTCTTTTGCTGTTCGGTGCCTAATCAAGGTAATAGTTTCTTCCTAATTTTTCTGTTTAAATATATGTTTATTAGATCTTTCTTACTTATCAATTTATACATTTTATAAATATTTATACATTTTTGTCTTCCACTTTTTTTAAAATAATATTTAAAAGTGTTCTCAATTAAATATTATATAATTAATTATATTACCTTTTTACATAATTAATTTAATATAATTAATTATATTACCTTTTTAGAGCAACGATTAAATTTGGCGATGGCGGTAGCTCCTAAACTTGGCATTGTAATGACGAAGCCGAAGCACTTTTGTAACATGTTTCGCAAACCGGATATAGACCTACGTCCCAAGCTTCTGATAGCGGGCAGGGCGAAGTTAACACGTAAAAAAGCGCAATACGCGAGAATAGATGTAGAAAAGATCAATTTCTCTTTTACAATGCCTTCTGCCTGTTTGTTGGAGCGCATAGCTAGTTGCGTCATACAAAAAGAGCCCGTGCTGCTGGTCGGCGAGACTGGTACCGGAAAAACGAGTTCGATACAATACCTCGCGAAGAGTACAGGCCACAGATTGACAATCATAAATATGAATCAGCAGAGCGAGAGTGCGGATTTACTAGGTGGCTACAAACCGGTCGATCTGAAGTTCCTGATTTCGCCCATCCGAGAGGAGTTTGAGATCCTATTTCGCTCTTACTTCGTCATCGAGTCAAACAGGAAGTTTCTTGAACACATTGCTCTGTGTCACAAGCAGCAGAAGTGGAAGAATCTTGTTGCTTTGATGAGTCACAGTGCGCGCGCTGCTGTGAAGAGATTGAAAGATAAATGTGGGGACCTTGATGACATCGCGTTCAAGAAAGACTCTTTGAAACGTTCCAAACAAGACAAGACTCGAGAGAAATCCGATCAGGATATCCAGACTGATATAAATCTACTGAGAAAGTGGGAAAAATTACTGGAGAAACTGGACAAGCTGGGAACTCAGGTGAGGAGTCAATATGCACTGGCATTCTCCTTTATAGAGGGGAGTCTGGTCAGGGCTTTGCGAAACGGTTATTGGGTTCTTTTGGATGAGATCAATCTGGCGAACGCGGAGACACTAGAATGTCTTTCCGGTTTGTTGGAAGGCTCCTCGGAGTCTCTGCCGTTATTGGAGCGCGGTGATGGAGAATCCGTGACAAGACATTCCGACTTCACGGTGTTCGCCTGCATGAATCCGGCCACAGATGTCGGCAAGAGAGATTTACCGGTCGGTTTGAGGAACAGATTCACCGAGTTCTACATCGACGAGCTGACCGGGCAATCGGATCTTCAGTTGCTCGTGAGCTCTTATCTGGCAGAATTAAATCTGTCGCTAGAGAAGCACAAATCGATCGTGAAGTTCTACCTGAACGTGAGAGAGGAAACTATGACCACGTTGTTCGACGGCACGGCGCATAAACCGCATTACAGTTTGAGAACGTTGTGTCGCGCATTGTACATTTCCGCGTCGAATCCCTGTGGCAATAACCTGAGATCCCTGTACGAAGCCTTCTCTTTGAGTTTCCTGACGCAGCTGGATTATAACTCGTATCCGAAAGTACAGAAATTGATCGCGGAAGCTATCCTCGATAACAAGAGCGCCAAAGCAATTCTTGGCACTCCTATACCGAAACCGGGATGCAGTCCAGGAGAAGAATATTTGTACATCGAAGGATATTGGGTCCTGCAAGGAAGCTTAACGCCTGAAACACCTAGCAACTATATATTGACTGATTCCGTCAGGAGAAATTTGAAAGACTTGGTACGAGTCGTGTCGATCGGAAAAATTCCAGTTTTGCTACAAGGCGACACGTCAGTCGGCAAGACCAGTTTAATTACCTATCTGGCGAAGACCACGGGACATGTCTGCGTCCGTATAAACAATCACGAGCACACAGATTTGCAGGAATACGTTGGAAGTTACATCGCGGACGAGACCGGAAAGCTGGTGTTCAAGGAAGGTGTCCTAGTTGACGCGATGCGTAAAGGATACTGGATTATTTTGGACGAGTTAAATTTAGCCCCGAGCGACGTTCTGGAAGCTTTGAATCGCGTCCTCGACGATAACAGGGAATTATTCATACCTGAGACGCAACAGGTAGTAAAAGCGCATGATCATTTTATGCTGTTTGCGACGCAAAATCCTCCTGGGGTCTACGGCGGCCGAAAAGTTTTGTCACGAGCGTTCAGGAACCGATTTGTAGAATTGCACTTCGACGAAATACCGCCAAACGAGTTGCAGATAATACTCAATCAGAGATGCAGTATGCCAGAGTCATACTGCAAACAAATAATCAACGTAATGACGGATCTCCAAATAAGACGTAAAAGTACGTCGACTTTTGCTGGTAAAAAGGGATTTATAACTCTGCGAGATCTATTTCGTTGGGGTGAGAGGTACAGATTAGCGCCCGACGTAGGCGAGAAACTGTATGATTGGAGTCAACATCTGGCGGACGAAGGCTACCTCGTTCTCGCGGCTAAGGTCCGTAAAGCGGAAGAAGCGGACGAAATAAGACAAGTGATACGAAAACACTTGAAGAGGGACGTGGACCCTGACAGCTTGTTCACACTGAACGATAAGACTTCGCCAGTAACGAGGCATATATTGGAAGAACTGAAGAACAGTATTCCTGGCTTTGACCATATCGTATGGACTTATCACATGCGTCGAATGGCGGTTCTGGTAAAGAAATCCTGTCAGTTTAAGGAACCGGTGTTACTGGTTGGAGAAACCGGTGGAGGCAAAACCACAGTCTGCCAGTTGATCGCAGCCATCAATGGCCAAGCTATGCGCGGTGTGAATTGCCATATGCATACCGAATCGTCCGATTTTCTGGGAAATCTGCGACCTGTTCGTGAGCACGCCAAGGATGATCAGAGGCTCTTCGAGTGGGTGGATGGACCGTTGATAAATGCCATGCGTAACGGCGACCTGTTTTTGGCTGACGAAATTTCATTAGCCGACGATAGCGTTTTGGAACGATTAAACTCACTTTTAGGTAAGCATGAGACGCATAAAACAAATCGTGTTCTATCGGAGGAAATCAATCGTGCACATGTTTCCGTGTATATATAATTGTTATAAAAAGAAGATTACAGGATTTTAACCATAGTGAAGCTTATTTGTATTATGATCTTTATATGTTTCTATAATAAATCTTTCTGTACAGAGCCGGAGCGTAGTCTTCTACTGGCTGAAAAAGGAATAGAGTCTTCGCACGGTGAAGAGAACACTGTGATTGTGGCGGACGAGAAATTTGTGTTCGTCGGCACGATGAATCCCGGCGGTGATTACGGCAAGAAGGAGCTTTCGCCGGCCTTGCGAAATCGCTTCACTGAAGTGTGGTGCGAGGGATGTATGGCCAGGAGCGATCTACGCGATATAATAACACATAATCTTCGCATCGATTCGGAAACAACGAGAGAGTCCGTCGCCACTGCGATATTGAGATTCACTGAATGGTTACAAACTACCGAAGTAGGCAAGAAGCTTACTGCGAGTATACGAGATGTACTCACCTGGATCGATTTTATAAATGTATCTACTGCCGGCACCTTGACAGTCGGAGATGCATATTATCACGGCGCTTGTCTCACGTATATTGATAGTCTTGGATCTGGTACCACGGGTTCGGAGAGGTAAGTGTTATTAGCACATAATATTATTGTATTTCTTATTTTATTCCGATATTTTAATTTTGCATGTAAAAATTGTTCAACCGTCTTAATTTTAAACCTGATCTATATTTAATTAAATTTTTTCAATTGAATTAGCTTCAATATAAATACTCATTTATTTTGATGCAATGAAGAATTTAATGCTTAGTAATAGATTTTTATTTATTTTCAGTTCCAGTAAATTGACAGATTTTACAGAGACTGCTTTTCAATTTATCAAGTCGGAAGTCGAAGATACGATACAATCGGAATTTGATGTGGAAACTACTTCTATGATAAACAAAAATGACGTTATAGATACTTCAGACGTATTCGGGGTGCCACCATTTTATGTTAAAAAAGGCCCGCATATCTCTTGTGAAACTCATGCATTTACATTCACAACTCCAATTACGAAACTGAATACGTTGAAATTGCTAAGAGCATTACAATTAAATAAGCCGATTCTTCTGGAAGGAAGTCCAGGTGTAGGAAAAACTAGTCTGGTTTCCGCACTCGCGAAAGCCGCAGGGCGTACTTTGCTCAGAATTAATTTAAGCGACCAAACGGTACCGTAAAATGGCGCAGTTTATTTTCATCATATTCTTAAAGTATAGCTTATTTTATTAAAAATTAAAATAAATGACATCTCTATTGTGTGCAGGACGTATCCGACTTGTTTGGCGCCGATCTTCCCGTAGAAAACGGGAAAGGCGGTGAGTTCGCATGGCGGGATGGTCCATTTTTGCGAGCTTTGCGTGCCGGATATTGGATTCTGCTTGATGAGTTAAACCTGGCATCGCAATCGGTCCTAGAAGGCCTTAATGCATGCTTCGATCACAGGGGAGAGATATACATCCCCGAACTAGGGAAGACATTTTCAGTCAAACCTGGTACAAGATTGTTCGGTTGTCAAAATCCCTTGCGGCAAGGTGGAGGTAGACGAGGCTTACCGAGATCTTTTTTAAATAGATTTACTCAGGTATTTATATATTATAGATATACATATACATATATAGCGTGATATAATGTGTGCTATGAAAGTAAGTAACTTAAATTGTAATCTAAATTTATCATTTTTGCAGGTATCCATAGATGCATTAATGCAAGACGACTTGATGTTTATACTTGGTGTGCAATTTCCACAACTTCCTGTGGAATTGATCAATGCCATGGTGCGATTTAATAGCGAATTAGCGTCGGAAGCTGGCATCGTATGGGGACATGCCGGGTCCCCATGGGAAATGAATCTACGAGATCTTACTCGATGGTGTGAAACGATTATCGAAGCCGCTTCTAACGAATTTCGCAGTAATAATTTAGAGTATAATCCAGGTGACAGCGTGGAGCTCATTTATGTTAACAGAATGAGGACTAATGAAGATCGACAAAAGGTGAGTCATTATAAAGTTATGTTTATCAAAATATCTAATAAAAATATCGAAAAATTCAGAATTGTACTGCAAGAAGTTGCTTTTAGGTTTATTAAAATATGTTGAGTTATAATATTTTTTATTATATAGCGTTTTTCTTAGTTTGGATTTTTTTGTGTTACAGGTTTATCAGGTATATAAAAATATATTCTTAGAGAGCTATCCTCTCCCACTCAATCAACTACCTATGTACCTCACGGAAGACAAACTTTTCATCGGCGACGTGACGTTAAGCCGAAAAAATTGCAGTGAACCACAGGACTTTAACTTGTTAGTGCTGAGAGAACAGAAAAAGACATTGAGGAGTCTCATGCAGTGTGTCAAAATGAATTGGATGTCTATTCTTGTACGCTTATTTATATTTTGTGAGATGCTTTTTGTTAAACTTCCATCTTTGACTAAATTAATTAATGCGATCAAATGTAATATATTATAGGTTGGTGCTTCGGGGTGCGGGAAAAGCAGTGTGGTTCGTTTACTTGCCGCTTTGACAGGCCAGAAGCTGAGATCAATTGCCGTGAATTCTGCGATGGACACGACGGAGATATTAGGTGGCTTCGAACAGGTAAGTGACAACGTGAGACAGATAAATATTTTCCTAACTTTACGTTAGGAATCTTCGAATATTCAAAGAGCCTCTGATTTCTCTGTATGCTTTCTGACGGGTCTTATATTTCCTGAAGGAAATAGACGATTCGGTATAGCAGTTTACATTACATATATATAACTTAGCCGTTGATATCTACAATTAGTTGCCAAATTGTGGGTTGCCGCTAGTTTCTCTGACCAGCAATCCGATAGGATTTCTTCATTAGAACCGCCATTCGACGCATATGATAAGTTCAAATGATACGAAAATGAATAATAATGTTCTTTTAGACCTGTTCTAATATGCTACAATATACCAAATATTGTAAGTCTTGTCAGTACGAACAAATTGTTAGAATCCACATCTTTGTTTAAATATTTTCTTATTATTTATCTTATTTTGTCTGCTTCTTTCGCTTTGCAAATTTTAACCGCGAGAATGAAATAGCACGTGTAATTTGGAAAAGCGATGGAAGGTTTACTTTAATCGTATCTTTGATATTTCTAATCTAATAAATATAAAAAAAATGTCTTTAATATTTTATAATTATTGTTCAAATTTCATTTCTCTAAAGAGAAATCTTAATATTTTCTAATCATTAAATATACAAATGTGTAAGGTCAGTTTAAAAAATATATTGCTATTTATTTCGCCATATTTGAAATACGCAATATTTTATTAATTAAATAAAAAGAAGAACATATAATTTATATATTACACATACTTTTATTTTAAATATGTGAGCAGGGTTTTATATACAGTTAAATATAAAGCATGGCTCTCTCTTTCTGGAAAGGATTAAATTTATGCTCGTTAATTTATATAGTTTACGATATTATCTCGCATACTCTGCTGTCGATTCGCAGCGATATTTCGGTTTTTCAGGCACCAGTCTCTTAGAAATGTTCTTAATAATAATACTTTGCCCTGATGAGATTATTTAGAATAATTCGCTTAAATGTTTGGCTTTCAAGAACGCTCTAAAAAAAAAATCGATTTTAATAGCAATTCCAAGAGATATTTGCTGTTAAATGGTAAAGACCTAAAGACGATAAATTATAAAATTTTGGGAGTATGTATTTTACAGGTGAACACTAAATGTATTTCAAAATACATAAAAATTTCAAGCATATCCCAAATATTCGGGATTTATTGAAACAATAATCCCGATGTAAATAATTGTAAAGATGCCATGAATTAAAATAATGTATTATTGCAAGAAATGTACGGTTTAATTAATATTAAACATATAATCGAGGCTGCGAGACTTTCTATTCAAACGCATCTCGTATTACACTTTTAATACATCTCTAAATATTTTTTTTCCTTACAATTGCCATTAATCGATTACGTCTCGATGTTGCGTTTATAAAATTACAATAAAAAATTTCGGACTTGCTCTGCCACTTTCTTACACATATAATTTACATTAATTTACATTAAACATTTATTACACACGCGACGTACCTATATAAGAAGAAAATATTTTGTGGTAGTCACAGTTAATTGACTTGTACCTAAGCAACGTCCTTCGCGCGCTGCTTTTAACACATCTCTGGTGAATAAAGAAAGAAGGGATTGAGTAAGGATATTAATTTTACATAATTTTGATAAATATCGACTCGCCACACAATGTTACGCCGTATATTCATTTTCAAACACATGACGCGTCTCTACATTGATATGCTTTTCGCTATACAATAAGAAACAATTTCTATACTAACACTTTTAAGATATTTTAATATATGTTTAATTATGCCAATAGTGCATATCTTTCATAATTTTGGAAGAAATTTTAATAATTCCGATTTGTGTTTATTTTAACCAGACTTATAAATAATTTAAACATGTTAAGAAGATATTCTCTTTATTAGATTCCACGTCCACAAATTTAAAATGTCTTTCTTAAGATTGAAATATGCTTATTAGTTAGATTTTTAGAGGATAATTTATTACAATTATGATCTGCGAACTACGATATAGTACGACGCAAGCCTGATATGAATAATTTTTACAATTTTTTTACATAAAATTAGTAGAAATCACTGCTTTTAGTTATTCTTGTAATTAGGAATTATACCTTTAATTCGTGTGAAGTATTATGTCTGTGCTTTAAAAGATCACGTGACATTAATTTGTCAATTTTAAGTATTATTAATTGAGTTTTGATTATTCTTAACATTATGAGTTTTCTTGTTTTGTCGATTTTTCTTGTTTCAATGTTCAGAGTCGACCTTTTTTAAATATGTTTTCTAATATCATGTTAATCACTTCAATATTATAATTTTTTGGGAGTAAGACTTCGAAACCGTTCAAGTTTTTCTTTATTATAGAAATGTGATGAGCAAATATTTGAAATATATATAGGGATATATCGCTTTTGGTTCGCTGTTTTGCTTCAAATACAACATTAAATTTATAAATTTGAAAATAAATATTGGAGGTAAATATATTAAGAACAATTATGGAAATTTATTAATATACCAAGCGTACAACTAGCAAAAAATTTCAACGGAATGGGGATGATTGTTCATATCTACATTTACATCTACATTTACTGTAATTATTCTCGGTTCTCCATTTGTAGAACAAACGACTGATTTCTCTGCTTTTTTACTCTCGTTAATCGTTCTCATTTGCATAAAACAAAAGTTTTGGTGTAACGCACAATTAGATCGGCGAGACTTAGGCCTGTTGGTTTTCGCTGCACTTCTGAATTAGTGCAATAAGTTAGAATAAAACAAATATATTTTCTTTCATTCTAATTTATTGCACTAGTTCAGAAGTGCAGTGAAAACGAACAGGGGCCTATTGATGCATTGTGCGATTGCAACGGGTGCAATCTCTAAAATGTCGCGTAGAAAATATATTATGTAATTTATTATATATAGTATCTCGTTTCGAGAAGATTGAGTCCCCAGATGAAGAAGCTCAGTAGTAGTGCCACTTTACGAAGGACTGAAATGCGGCAGGACTGCACATTCGATCGTTATATACACTTAATAAGTGCACCTCTAACTTGGCTAAATGAAGAAATTATAAATCTTTTCCAGTTAATTATACTTTCTACCATTACCACGTATTGTACTTCCCTGACTCGCTATAGAGATATTCGTTTCGTTTTCAGTTCTGTTCTGTGTAGCTGAAAAAGCAGATCACGAATTAATATTATTTTATATCTCTAAGGTATATATCGCTCTGTACATATAAATTGTATGTACTTTATATTTTTCTAACGATAAGAATCTATTACCATGAAAGCACACCGACAAAGAGACTAGGACGTTTATAAGCAATCACAGATACATTCAGATGATGCCCGGTGGATTACATTTCTTTCCTCTTCGATTTGTCGCGTTTTATTTTTTAGCTACAACGTCCAACTTATCAAAAAGAAAAGGGAATTAAATTTCAACTTGTATGATATCGAATGATATCCGGACTTTAAAATACATAGCTTGCAATGATAAGTAAACATATTTTATGCGCATATATTATTCAGAATATTAAATTAACGTGAAATTTTAATTGGATTGCTGATCGCATGCAAATCATAGTTAAAATAAATTAATGTTATTATTAAGTATTTAATTATCAGTTTAATTGTCAATTTACTACACTACTGCTTAGAAGTGTGATTAAATTTTGTGAATATTTTTTAGATTTCTTGATGAAGTACTTCTGCTTTATGATGAAAATTGTAAAAGTTGTCGGAAAAAATTCTAATCATTAATTTTGTAACAAATAAGACATAAGATATGCATGTACGTTCTAAGGCAAGATAATACCGTTTTTCGGATAAGAAAGCAATGATCTTTACATTATTTTAACTAACGATTTTGGACGTGACAATAGTGGAAATTGATATATACATAAATACGAGTTTTATGAAAAAAGTCAGTCTGTCAATTTTTTTTTAAGTCTATTATATTGTAAAAGTAAAGTGCATACTAATTTTTTTAATGACTTTATTTTCTAACAAAACTCAAGCTGCATTATTTGTATGATTAATCAATCATACACATTTTATCAACATTTTGACGTATTCTTGTTCCTCGATATTGTATTAAATGTCCGTAAAAAAAATTTACGATGGTATAACTTCATTTATCTAGATTAATATTGATATTAAAAACTGCATGAACGTAAAGTTTTGTGGATATTTTCAAACGCAATTGGAGATAGTTGTGATATTCGCTGATATATTAACGTTCATTTAAAAAATGTTTAAGTAACGCAGTATTTGTAGCGCGTGATTCATTTGATTTTGATAGGAAGGATTTTTCCTGAAAGTCTGTTTTTATCGTTTTTGCAATTATTTTTACATTGTAATCGATTAACGTTGTGTTTTTTGGTTCGATGATTGGTTAAGGTCGTTTATTCGCTGGGGAAGTCGCTACTCGTCGGACTCATCTGCAGATCGTTCAGTTCCGCCGGTGGTGGTAGCAGGAGGCTCGGTCTCCTGGATAGTTCCTCCCCGTACAGGCTAGAAGTGCTCTTTGGTCTTGAGGTCAGACTCCAAGGATCGGGTGGTATCACGATGGAATCGTCCTGTAATTTTACTGATAATTTTGTATTTGTATCGTAAGCTTGGATAAAAGATTTATATAATTAATATAATAATCACACAAAAATGTCTCGATAGGAGAAACATCGAGGAAAATTAGTCTAAACAATAAGTGATCTTTGAGTGATTGAGGGATGGGGGCGTCGTTAAAGATCAATCTTTAAGCGATTAAATACGAATTCCGTGATAACTTTCGGTGATTACTCAGACGAGTGTCCTACCACCAGTAAGTGTTTGGCAGTTGGCGGCAGGGGTGGTTTTAAGAGCGCCACATCAGTAAGATTGCATCCCGACGGCACGGTCGGCGCCGCCAGGGGTGGATCCGGCGGCGAGGGGAGATTCATCGGCGGTTCGTATCGGGGTAGCTGAACGTTCTGCATCGGACCGGCCGCGGCGGGTCCGAGGATCCACCGGGCTATACTTTCGCAGCAGCCGCAGCACACGTCCGTCATACCCTGCCGCAGCCCCCGGTGCAGGGCGAGGAACAAGGCCGGGTTTACGAAGGCGTGCACGTACGCGATGTGTAGGGTCACCTGGTACAACAAAACCGCGGAATCCAGTGATTTAGATGCGATGCACAGTTTGCATCGTGCTGCTGCAAACATAAATCTATAAGCTAAACCAAAATTACGCGGTAGCGTGATGCTTATAAAATAGAAAGGAGGACGAAACCACGTAGAGAAGCTGCACTGTCTTCTTTTAAAGCAAGAAATTAAAATTATAGTTAATATGATCGATTTATCGCATGAGAACGATAAAACATATGCTAAAAATAACAATAAAAAATAAATGTTGTAGTTTAATTATTCGTATATGAATCTGATTTTATTTAAATTAATGGAGAATTATATTTAAAAGAATCTTTCTTTTTATGAGGCATGTTATAAAATTTCTACATTGAAAGATATTGAAGTTTATACATGTTTACACAATAAGATTTTTTTAAATTACGTTTTTCACTATTTTCGCGGTTCATCTACGTTTTGTCAAAACACTGGAAATTTATTGCGCATCGAGGAGATAAAATGCGGTAATTTCGTGCATCTGTTACGATGCTACATCAGCAAAACCGCTGCGCGATGTCTTCGAGTCTCTCGACGAGTTTTTCGGCGAAGACTCTCCTCTCTTGGAAAATTTATATTCTCGTGGAAAGATTCTTCGGAGAAACTCTGCTCGGTATATAGCTGTGAATTCGCTCGAGCAATACAACTCTTGTATTGGCACGGTCGAGCAAGTTACGATTTCATGTTTTCACGCGAAGTTTTCGCATCCTTTTTCTATCTCAGAACTCTCTATATTGTTATCACAAGTCGAACTAAAACTTGACAAATTTTATTATATCTCGCACACGCGTATTTTGGACATCGCGTCATTAGAATTATTAACCCTGAAATGCAAAATTTTTTACAGCATTCTATTTTAAAAAAATTTTAAATAAATAACGACTGTTTTAAAGAATTTAATAAAACATTAAAAGAATTCTTCTTTACTAATTTGAACCCTTAAAAGTAGATGTGCAAAGTCGCGCGTTTTTAGTTCGAATTTCATAGAGAGTACACGGAGAAAAGTCGCTTTGCATATGTGCAAAACTGCGCACTTAAGGATTAAGGAATTATATATTATAACGTTCAATTATAATGATTAAGAAAAAGGGTGAAATTTGTATCTCCAGTCATTTATATCTTCAGACGATTAACTTCGACATTTGCATGCTATTTGTGTGACGATACTGTATATTTATTTGTGTTTATTGTAATGTTTATTTATATAATAAGCTGCTGATATCCCACCGATTATTTTTGGCTAATACATCTTTTGAAATTAATATAAGGGAGCTCATTCACAGTTGAATAAATAATACGACATATAATTGCCATTTTTAACGGGACGAAATTTGAAGGCGCGGGAACATTTGTATATCAAGCTATTAATATTCTCCCTAATATCGCAAATGCGCACAAATGCGCCATTACATTACAAGTGAGATAAGTAATGACCGGAAGATATTTATGGGGACATAAATATCGATAGCGTCTAAATTTCGCGGGAAGTAACATTAACACGAACGCAGATACAAACTTGCCATTATCTTCTCGCAACACTCTATACATTTTAATTACCTCGTAACCAGTAGGGTTTCCTATAACGGGATGATGCACCAGGGTAACGAAAAACAATGGTCCCCAGAACAAGACATACGCCGCTGTTATAACCAGGAACATTTTCACCCTCTGCACACCCTCGCGTTCCATTCTCCTGAGGTAATTCCTCATTTTCCGGTGTTCCTCGATGGCACCCGTTCTCTGAAATGTCGTTTCTGGGTAATTTTATATCTTTTTACACGGCACTCGCGTTTTCTTTTTTTCATTTCCATCTGCTTCGCATATATGTCCCATTTGTAGGTGTATAAAAATGTACATATGTATATATAAAGAAAAACTAATACCTACCGTCAATACTGTTGTTGGTAATATTTAAAACTTGCTTTTTAGAAAACATTGAACTATTATTTAAATGAGGGGATTTGTAAATATTTATTCATTAATATATGTATATAGAAAAGAAATACGCACTTTGCGTTGAAAATCATTGACGTGACTTACTTTTGGCGTCGTACCGTTTCTCGTGTCACCGTCTTCGGTTGCAAGCGCATTCGTTGCACCTTGATGCCCTCCCGTCACATTAACGAGCGTTGTAACGAGGCCAGCTACTCGTACCTGGAAATAAATGCAATGTTATATAAATTTAAGTAAAACTTAAGTAAAATTAAGTGATATTTTTTTTATCAAAATGTATAAAATCTGTAAAAAACTTTTTTCTTGTAAAAATGCAAAAACGCTGTTATCCAAAATGTCAATTCTAAATTGAAATATATATTAATTACATTTTTGTAATATTTTAATTTGTTACATTTTGTAATAGTTTGTAATATTTTGTAAGTTTTAGAAGTAGGAACTCTTTTTTTTTTTTATTATTATCTATATGTAATATTATATATATACATTTGATAGACGTTGGTTCGATTTTTCCGCTTACCGCTTCGACGTTTGCTTTTGTCAGATCTCTGTGCAACTTTCTCAAGTGAAAGAGCGTGAGCGCTACGCAAATAATGTTGATGACAATCCAAAGGGCATTGAGTATATAGTGACGAAAAGGACCGTGTATTAATGGGCAGCTAGGCGTGTTGTGACCGCTCTCCGTGTTCGCCGCTAAAGCCCCGCTAAGAAACGTAGGTCCCAAATTGATAGTTATGCTGGCGAACCAAATCATGAAGGTGCCGAAGAGCACGCACTGCAAAAATAAGCGAATAATTATTCGATAAAGTTCGCAAAATGATTTTTCCATGTCACGTTATTTTTCCTGAGTTTTTCGGAGGTGCATTTATCAGCGCAAACCAGTAGTATTTCACGAATTGCGCTTGCGGTTTGATAACACTTTTTCAACAACGAATCTTTGAACTTTTTTTATAAAGATAATGAAACGGATTTTATTTGGGAAATATAGAACTAACATTAAATTAAGTATTATCGTCTTTTTTGCGAATTATTTGTAATATTTTTTATCTTTTTTCGCGATAGCAAATGACTGCATATGAGAGCTCCTACACTGAGAAAAAAATGTTGTAAATTTGACTAAACTCGTTTAGTTGTAGTGATTTGTTTAATGCAAATATTAATATATTTAAATCAAATATACGTGAGTAATATCAAGAAATTCTGAATCTATTTAAATATAATATTTTTTGAATTAACAAATGTTAGCTTGACAGCCCGTGACCGCTGCATTAGTTGAATCAAATAATATTTCTTTGAATCTACGATTTTTTTTTCTCAGTGTATTGATTGCTATTGTCTCAAGTAAAATACGATACAAACTGTTTTTTCACAATTTAATTAAACTAGTCCTCTATGTTTTCTGTATAAATAATTTCTCAATGAGCTTACTAAATAGTTGAACGAAATGCTAGTTATTTTAATCTAATTACTTGACCGATGCTGATAATTTACAAATAAATTCTACAAGAGAAAATTTAAATTTGCAATTTTAAATCAAGCACGATGTGAGATGCACTGTTGTTTGATCCGACGAATTTTCACAGTAGGATGTTTTACAAATATAATTATGGATTTAATTGTTCAGCACGAAACAGTATCAGCAAAAATATTATCGGAAACTATTAATCATTACAAATAGCGATCGTAAATTTTTAGAAAACATATATTTACAAGTTTCATAAAATTTCATAAATATTCATATTTATTGGATCAAACGTAGTCTCGTTTCGGATATCGTGATTGGTCAGTCTAACGAGTTTAAGATATAATCCGATTGTCTTCGTTTAAATTCTAGAAACTGACACACCTATGCAATCCTGTAATCCATAATTGATCCGCCATCGTAAAGAGTAAAGACCATTTTACCGAAGCCAAGTTTTAACCAGATTTTACATTTTTTGCATTTATTCGCTTGCTGATAAAAATAACAAATACTATTTTAAATACTCCTCTTTTTGTCAAAATTATAAAAATAAATTATTATAATAAAAATTTTAAAATATAATTATATATATTAAAAGTTAAAATTCTAATAGAAATCTATTTCATATTTGTCTTATTTCATATTTCATATTTGTCTCGTTATTTTTTGCAATTATTAAAAATTTACATTTTATGTTTTATTATTTATTTGCAATTTAGAAATTTAACTTGTAACAAGCGAGTTTAATAAACTGGGTACCAAGAAAATTGTTCTGACATAATTAAAACCTAAGGCCGAATAAAACGTATGTTGTTAGCGACGTTTAAAGTAATTGCAGAAATTATTTCATTCCATATAAGGCTACAATTGCAATTTGCTCGCAAGGGACACATAATAATACACATCTCGCATGTTTAACGAACCATTATTAGAATTCTGTTGTTACGAAAGCGAATCGAGTGTCACTAGACGTACAAGTTATTGCGTCAAATTAATTTGAAACTATAATTGCTACTACATACGCGCAGGGAAGCCAAGTCGTTAAGGAATTAATTGCGCTAATTCATTGTCTCGGATCGTATTGTAATGATATAGGTGATGCCTCGTAAGATCTGCATCGAATTTTAGAAGCCTTGCAGTAGTCTGATGAATTTGAAGATAACTTTCCCTCGGTGTCAGAGTTCTGCCTCGTGATTTTTTAATTCTTAATTAAATTCATTGTGTAGGTAAGTTGGAATAAAAACAAAATTTGCTTAAAGTTATAAATGAGAGATTGTAGAACATAATAATAATTTAATAATTTGTGATGAGAAAACAGAACTAGTCGTACAATACTTGCAAATTGAAACGTTATTTATTTTCATACTTTATTAGTGATTATGTTTAAGTATTTAATAATTCAGTATATAAAAATTTACTATGAAATTGACTAGAAAAAATTCTGTCTTTACAAACGTTGACTGGATGAATTTATCACAACTTATTAAGAAGTGTCTAACTCAGGCTGTGCGCTTAATGTTTTTTTTTCTGCGGTGCAATTAATTTTCCTTGGGAAAATCCGATTTAGTCCGACAGCTTTCGCTCCGATATCTCTATATGCTGCGATCCGACGTGGACGGTTTGCACCGCAATCAGTCACCGCTAAATTCGCTATCACAATGCTGCGGTTAAGCGGAAATTTCTCTCTCATTTTGCATGCGAGACGGACAACCGCAGTCTACGTTAACCAAAGTCACGCGGTTTATTTATATGTCACAATATTTTATCAATAGCTTGTCACAAGCAAACATATTTAACCTTGATTTGATTTAACGCCTTAAAAGCATTAGTATCTATATTTGTTTAAATAAGTACGTAATTTTATAACCGTAATGTGTGTACAAACGTAAAATCAAATGCTTAATCGAGTTAGACTCGATATAATACGTTGCTTATCACGTAATTCTTCAAGCAATAAAATCTGCACGCGATTATAAACGGCAAACTATATTTTTAGGATCTCCGTAAATTCCTTTAATTAATAAAAATCCTTTGATTAACATCAAATCAATTGATTAGACAAAGTTGAAGACGAAATACTTTATTTTTGCTTTTTTTACGGAAAATAGTTTGGATCGCAACGAGTTAAGAGACGATTGAGAAGATCGAGGGTTGAAAGTTAGGGAGTTTGTAAATTGAACGAGCTGAGTGCTGAGGGATAAGTTAAATAAAACTGAATTGTGTTAAAACTCTTGGAGATCGAGACGTATGCACGAATCTACTCTTATTTACTTTACGATGCATCTGAGAAAACCATCACGAGAAATCCTTGTCGAATAGAAAGCACAGATCACATTAACTTGACAACGCGCGTCATAATTCTTACCTGGGGTGAGTCCATCAGCAAGGGAGCAGTCAGATCTGCCTCCTCGTCGCTCTCTGGGAATACCGGGCTGTCGTTTAGCACAGTCGTTAGCATGTTTACCGTGGAGACGGTCACCAGTAGCAGAAAGGCGGTCTCTACCAGAGAGCACTTGTTAACGGGCTGACAATTCAATATACTGGAGCCTAGGGGCAACAATATAGCGGCTCTCGCGCAATCCACCATGGCTTGGTGGAATAACAATCCCTGGGACCACCTGTGAATCCCGGGATAACTATATGTCAACACGTTCGCTATTCTGTAGCCGTCTCATCTCCGATTACCCTTCCAATATCCAATAGCAGAACTTATCATTGCATCTTATATAAGATGTCTCCGGCAATTTCAGTTTATTTGCAATTATGTTTGAAAAAAAACCATGAATGCTAATAGAATATTTCTAAGATATGGAATCAAGAACGTATTAATTTTTTTACATGAATATGTAACGATTATCTTCCTCCGTCATTTATTGCATTCAACGTTAGATATTTTATTAATTAAATTCAAACCATTTCAATCTGTGAAGTAGTTTGTAAGAAATATACACATTTTACTTGCAGTTAGTTGCAATCTCAAAAGATATTGCATGTACCAACGTTTTCGAGAAGGAAAATCAACTGTAAATTGATAGCAAGGTACATTCCTATAAGATTCGATATCATATTTGGGACACTCCGCAGTTTGTCACGCGCACCATGTTTCGCGTATCGATTAGATATTTTGTTTACTCGCAAGCATACAGCATACGATCGAGATTTTATTCGGTAAACAGCACGTGACGGTTACCGAGCCGCAATATAGCTGCCTGTTCACGTACCTGAAATAAAAGTTCAACAAGTCAAGATACTTTTACACGAGATTAAAATCCCACGTATGGCACGGAAACTGAACTTGCCCCTAACTCATAAATTCTATTCAAAAGTATGAGAAGTCGCAATAAAGCAAATTTGTTTTCGTTTATTGCGACAGCATGTTCCTATATCAAACAAATGCATATTAAATTCACAATGCGTTTGAACGCTACGAGGCAAATGTAATAGAACGCGATGGAATATGGCGTTTTCCATATCGCGCAACATCTTTTCCTTCCATTTGTGAGAAATCCGGTCGTGTAATTTTTGCATCGTCGCGCGATATGCCCGTAGGAAGCGATTTTGTGTCGTGTATATCGAACGGGTCATAACACGAGAATTTCCGGGGCGTTATTCCATGCGGATCAGGCCGTGCAAAGCAGGGGGAAATCATAAAGCGCCTGGTCTTCCGTGGATTATTATCGCTTCGTACCTGCGCAGCTGTCGCTTCGCCAGTATCAACGTCATGAGGATGATATTCGCCCCCATCCCCAGTGCACCGAGGCTAAATATGACGGTGGCCTCAGTCACACCACCGGGGTGACACTGGAACACCTTGGTGGCGTTGGACGTGACATTCCCGGAAGCCCCGATGCCGAATCTCAGATTAGCTCCGATCATCGCTACCGCTGAACCTGCACAAGAGAATCGTCTCATTTAGCTGTCGAACGCACGCGTTCCAATTTTGTAATAGCTATTAGAGCGGAGCGGTCTTGAAATCCCGAAATCGTCCTATCATTCGAGTGTACAATCCCATTTTAATATATAAATGTTCGAATTTAACGAATAGTATAAAATATTTAGCACAATCTTGTAGCAAGATGTGAGGATTATTAGTTCCAAGTGCATGTTAAACAAAAATTCTTCTTAATGATCCATACAATTCCGGTTAACAAAATATGTTAAGTACAGAGCAGAAATCTGGTCATTATTAGATCACGTTAGGAGTTGTTATTAATGAAGAACGCGCGAATCTCAGATATTTCCATTTTCCGTGAAATCTCGTGTTCCGCTCCCGGCTCTCATTGAAATCCAGTTACTCTAGTTAGGCCTTAATGATCCTTCGTGTGTAACTAGAGGCCGAACACTAATTGAACGTCCAATTATTGTCTCAATAATTATGGAATAGTAGAAGCGATCTTTGCCAATGATTCCTTTGATTAATTCAGTTGGTCATTGACATGATGACATTGTGGTGACAAAACTGGATTGATCAAGGATGAAATCTTATCTTTTCGGCATTTTATTATAAGACTTATTTTATTATCAATTATTTGATTTAATAAATTTTATTTGAAATACAACTTGATCGCTTTAAACATTCTTTTTGCTGATAGAATATAGATTGATGCAAATTCTTAAATTTTAACATTTCAAAAATTGATTTAAATTGAATTGAATTAAATTGCTGACTTTTATAGATATTGATAACTTGCAACTCTATTTTATTTATTATTTTATAAATACGGTTTTTATAAAAATATTGGTTTGAAAATACGGTCTTTATAAAAATATTGGTTTGAAAATACGGTCTTTATAAAAAGATTCCATTTCTTTGGCTGTCGATCAGCCATAAATTTTAAACAGCGCGCAGCGCCGTAAAATGTCAAAATAGACCTCGTTAAATCGTTCTATTCAGAAGCGGATACATTTCTATTTTAATTCAGTCTTCGTTCAATTTTTCTGATCATTTTTATTCACTTAAACCAATTTGGCCAAGCACGGTATCTCTAGATATTTCGAAGAGGCGTAAAATACCTATCCGGGTGAACGCGATATTGCTTGTTTATTCTTTCGTCGGGATTCAGTTGCGCGCACATTTTATTGAAAGAAAAGTGAGAAAATAGGAGAGAGACTGGGAACAGTGACTATATCCGAATTTTATAGATATCTGCACCTGAAAACGTACAATATGTGTCTCGGAACTACCGCACTTTTCTTCACTCGCAGGACTTCCTTTTGCAATCGATTTTTCATTGTCATAAATGTCACGATATCAGAAGTTGAATTGCAAGAGAAAAAGAAGCCCTTCCGCGCACTAACTTCAATTTTATAAACGATAGAAAAATTTCATCATTCATTCGTTTTTTTATATTTAATATTTATAAATATTTTTTCTACTGTTTTTGCACAAATAAATGTGCAAATACTGCAAATAGACCACAGAACTTTATGTTTAATTTAATTCCTACAGATATCTCTTTATCGTAAAAACGAATAAGCGTATAAGATCGTATATATAAAACACGTCTAATGCGGCCAAACGAATTTTCAGTAAAGTGCTTGGCTTGGGGAGAATCTCATCTCTTATCGGCCAATAAAGGTATATCCAGGATACACTGCGCGCTCTTGAGCACTTATCGCGAGATCATATATCCCTCTTTCTTCCTTCGGGCAAAATCATTCGGTTCTCATTTACCGAAATAAACGCGAGCGCGCGGTTGTCTTCGAAACGTCTCCTTGTTTTCGCGCATACACACGACCCACACTTCTGAATCGTGACCCGCATTAACCGAGAGATATATATATATATTATACTGCCGTACGAGAAGTGTCAACTAAGGGAGAGAAGGGAAGAGAAAAATAGGGATACGCGCGAGAGACAAACAAAGACAAGAAGCAGAGCTTCAACTTCATTCGACCTGTAAAAACTCGATCGTTGCCGGACTCGGTCCGGGAAAACTGCAATAGCTATCGATGTACAGCCAAGCCAGCGAAATTAAGCAGCATCCGATACGAACTAATTCGATTTCAGTCTGCTGCAGTTAATTGTGTCAGGAACTATACGAAGGTGAGAGAAGAGAAAATATCCTCTGTCGCCTGTTGACACGCGCACTTCGTCACGGTACCGCTTCTTGCGACGACGTACGCTTTGCGTCCAGCATTATACGATTTTCTGAGTTTTCCGAGCTATTTATAACTTGTCCGGGAAATTCCCTCATCGCCAAGTTCTTCACTTGCATTTTCGGTGAATTTATTTTGAGACGAAACTATTACTCTTCTGTATTGTAACGATGAATTCTCCGGACAAACAGCGAGATGAGTAGCAAACAACGGTTCTTTTATTCTACTTTTCGTCACAGAAAAATCTAAAATATGTTTGCCATTAAGTTCGTAGCTTGCAGCCGTAAAGCCACGTCATGGAATCTTGAAAGCGCCTTTCGACGTCACAGCTTTTTCGATTCCAGAATTGCTGGGAGTCGCTTGGCAATCGGCCGACGCGAGTCTTCCCTTTTAGCTATCGATCGCGGCAAAAAGTTTTACTGATCTGAAGCCAAAAAAGAAACGACGATTCTCGTGGTGTACTGCTACCAGAAAGTATACTACTACTGTTCTTTTATATGTCGGATTTTGATCGTTAAGTTGTGAGTGGATTGATATCATTGGTATCTAATTTATAAATTCCTATCAATCAGTTATTTCGCAATACTCTTAAATTAAGAAGACGCGAGGCAAAAAGCAGATAGATTGAAATATCGAAAAAGATCAAAGTACCTCTTATACCTTTATTCTCAAACGAAGCAATTCGTGCGAAATAAAGTGCTCATGGTTAACTTCGTTAATTAATTACATTAATTAAATTTATGCTACTGCAGACATATCTTTTTATGATATGAGAGAAAGAAGAGAGGGAGAGAGAACAAGATTTGCCTTTAATTTGAAACCTGCAATAATGGATCAAGTCTCTATCTAAAATAAGCTGCTTAATTAGAAATGATAAGTTGACATAAAAACACGTCGATGGAAATCTAGAAAAAGAAATGTTTCTGATTAAAAATCGCGGCGGACAATGCGTGCGTCACTTGCGGACGAATTTTAAATTTAGAATATTTCCAAATGATAGGTTAAGTTTAAAGAATGCAGATATCAGTAGAGTAATATCGATTATTTATCCGATTTCCGATACGATATATAGGCAACGGCCAGGTCGCCGGTCGGACGAGCATAGAATTATATCCCGAGACCCTCCTCTACAAGAATGGATAGGAAATGGTGAGAAGCTCTCGCACGGGGGGTTCTGGCCACTTGAGTATAAATTAGTGCGCAGAAATGCCGTAGTGACTTATATTTCCCAGTTCTCGATTTCTTAAGTCGATCAGTCTTTACACTTAAGCGAAATCTCAACATATTCTAGAAAAATTTCGGGATCGTCGAATAAAAGTAATTTTTCAACTTGATATCAAAGTTTAAAATTTTATCTTGAAATTGGAAATTCAAATTTATGAAAAGTCGGATATACCTAATAGTATAAACAAAATCTGTCACAACCAAGAAATGCTTCAACTGAAATAATTAATTTTCAGGAAGCTGTTTAAATTAAAATTGAAATATTCTGAAGAGAAGGTAAACGAGTTTAGCTAAAACGGATCAGATTCCGAATCAAATAAGCGATTAATTTAAATCAAGATCCATCTCCACTCCCCCTAAAACTTAAAGACTTAGAAAAGACAATCAAAGCCGACGAATTCAAGGAAGACTTGCATCACGAATTAATAGAATTTAAAAACAGATTTCCGAATTTCAATTTGGGGATCATAAATTTGATCCCTGTTACAATTGTTATAAGCTATACGATATCTTTTGATGTTGATTAATCACACAAACTAATCCAAATCCTGGATAAATGCTTAAATGTATTGATTTAAAACGGACAGATTCATACTTCTTATCAATTCGTGACAGCGTTTTTTTTTACGCGCGTTTTTCTCGTCGACCGTCCCGCGAATCGTAAATTTCCATCTGTTCGAGAGTTTTTAGCGAGCCGCATCTAGAAAGCGCCAGAAGGACATATCTCATGCATATTTATGCGGGGATGACATAATTCAATTTTAGGGTTGTGGTACATCAGCGGCGCGATGTGCCTTCCCTCTGACCATCTCACAATTAACCTGCCGGTAATTCGTCCTGCTGCGGGCCAGCCTTCGCCCGCAGCGCGGGTCCAGAATCGCAGTAACGCTCGAAATTACTTTTCACGTGTTTCAAAACTTGAATGTATATTCAGCCGGCGCCAGGACGAAGTTATCTCTCGCGGGAAAGTTTTCCCCGCGGCGTTTTCCGTTTTGTCTTCGTGAGTTTTATCACGGTTATTTCTAGGCAACGAGGCACGTGACGCCCATTCGCGGTGCGTTGAGATAAGGAATTTAAAAAAAAGAAAGATCCAAAATAGTGGAGTCGATTTTCACCAGAGTTCCATTCTTAGCGGATAAAATCGTTATCGCCATTGTATAACTTTAATGTCGTAGTAACCGTGACATCTTCTTAATTTTTCGAGAGAACTAAAATGTAACTCAGCGCTTCTCAAAAGATGATCTTGATAAAAGGCGAGTAAAGGATGTGTACGTATAATAAGCCGGCCGATATTATCGATTCGTAAATTGCTCTCTATATCTACAAAAGACTTCTGCACAGATTATGATATTCTTTTTTATATAAAAAGATTTAATACTTTTTCACAACACCTCCACGGAAAGTTCGATTTTCCATGCCTGTATAGAGAGGCGAAAGCGGTCAATTTCGCGCCAGGGCGGCATAAGCGAGCGGAAAGTAACCACTTTCCTGCCTAGTGATTACTTTCCGCCCGCTATGCCGCCCTGGCGTAAAATTGACCACTCTCGCCCCTCTCTAGGCATGGAGG